ATCTTGGACTTGCTTTGTTTCCAATACTTTATATTCCCGTTTGTAAATTTTGGAATGGTGGTGTTTATCTTGTGCCTTTGCATTTCAGAAATGTTTAACCTTGTCTCATTTGTACAGGGCTTACAGTTAAGAGTTTGCCATAGATCTTGGAGGAGACTTTGGACTTGGACTCTTCAGCAATGCTGAAGCTGTTAGGACTTTGGCAACTCTTGGAGGTGGACTAAATGTCTTTGGTATAAAGGATGTACATGAGTCCTGGGGGCCAGGGGAGGAATGTCATGGTTTATGTCTCAAGAGTTTGAATTGTGCATTTGTTATTCGTTCATTGTCTAGTGCTTGGGTTGAATGTGTCAGTGTTCCACCCACATAGGGGTGGAGCCAGGATGTGATGTAATGGCAGGAAGAAGGTGTATCTTTCTCTTTGCTGGTTCGAGCTTGCCATTTTGCAGCCGCCATGAACAGCAGTCCAGCCATGCCCGCCTGTCTTGGAGCCAACTGAGTGTGGACTGAAACCTCCAAAAACTGTAAGAAATAAACCTTTCCTTTCCCAACTTAGGCATCAGGTACTTTGTCTCAGTGACGATCATAAAGTAACTAAGACAAAATGTAAATGAAGATATAAGAAAAATAATAAAAGAAATGCTAAGTACTTCTCAAGAAGACACAGATGGGAGAATGGAGAAGCATAGAAAAAGGAGGGAAACAGTCAATGAAGAATACAAAAAAACCCGTAGAATATATGAAACAGATTTAAAGAGATCACCAGGAAATTAAAAACTCCATTGAAAGCTGGCAAATCTGCTTGAAAGAAACTAAAGATAGACTATCAAACCTTGAAGACAGGTTTGCAATGTGTGATTGAGAAAGGAAAGATCTCTTAAAAATAACAGGGAACCAGGAAGTAACAATACAAAAGCTAGACGATGACAAGAGGATGTATAACTTAAGAATAAAAGATGTGATTGAGGAAGCAGGGTAAATGAAATACAAAGGCTATTTACAGAAATAATTAAAAGAAAACGTCCCAAGCATAGGAAAAGAAATATTATTCAGATACGAGGCCTACAGAACTTTAGCCAGCTATAACCAAAATAGATCTACACCCAGACACATAATAATCAAGATCCCAGAAATTCAACACAAGAACAGAATATTAAAAGCCGTCAGAAAAAGAAACAGATCATCTACAAAGGAAAACTCATCAGAATTACAACAGACTTCGCAACACAAACCATCAAGTCAAGAGCTTGAAGCGAAGTATTCCAAGCCCTGAAAGAATATAACCTCCAGCCCAGATTGATGTACCCTGCAAAACTATCTCTCAAAATTACGGGGGAAACAAGATGCTTCGGATACAAAGAGGAACTAGGGAAGTTCGTGGCCACCAATCCAACCCTACAAAAAGTACTGAAAGACGTTTTAGAGAGAGAAAAAAAAAGACCATGGTTTCAAGAACAGTGACAGAGGGGGCTCACTGAAGGGGACAGTGGAAGGAAGGGGAAAAGTAGACAACCAATGGCAGAAAAATAGCATGGCAGAGATGAAGCAGAGAAGACTGGCCATAATCGCTAACATGGATGGCCTTGATACATTAATAAAAAGAAACACAGGCAGAGTTGATCAGGAGATAGGGTCCATCAAGATGCTCTGTATAAGAAATATATTTAACCTGAAAGAGAATTTATGCACTGAAAGTCAAAGATGAGAAAATAATGCTGTATGTGACAGGGAACCAGAAAAAAGTGGGGATAGTTTGCCCATCAACTGCAGTTTGGTTGGAAAGACGTTTTATACAATGGAGAAGTACTACTCAGCTGTAAGGAAGGAAAACCTTGAGGCTCTTGTAGGTGAATGGATACAACTTGAGACCAAGCTCAGGGGTAAAAATGTTCAGAATCACTTAGGTAAACAGCAGGTTCCCTCCCTGATCTAAATACTAAAGGAGTCAGTGGGATACCAAATGTACAATGCACCCTGTGAAAGTGAATGGGTATTGTCTTCAGAGTAGTTGCCTATACTCTCAGACTTGATACTGTCAAACATAACAGATTTGAATACAATCAGTCAAGACAAGACGGATCGAACAAAACAGATTCAAATAAAATTAGTCAAAGCAAGGCAGTGAAAGCAATACAGGACTATTACCCTCTTTTGAAGTCCTATAATGTCTCCAATGTTTTATTTCTATTGATTTTGTCTCATACTGCTATGTTGTACCTGATGATATGGGCAATTCTATTGAAGGTAACAAGAGATAGCATGGTAACCATTGTAGATCACCTTGTATTGTGGTTTTAAACTATGTACTATGTCCATCTTTTTGTTTTGAATGGCCCCATTTTTTTTCTTTTTTTCTCATTTGGTTTCATTTTTTTCCAAAAAAAAAAAGACATAAGACACTGAAAACAATGTTTTATAAATTCACATAACTTTCATTAAAAGGTCCAAAAAGTAAATATGGAAAATCTCATTATAAAAGACTATAAATATAGTTCATTAATTCAAAGGTGAATCTTTTGCCGTATTTTAACACTTCTGAAATATCTGCCGCTTGGTCAACAGTATCATCTCAAGGCCATTTGTGCACTGGGGGTAGAGAGGACAAGGCCACATCAGCAAGCAGGCCTGGTCTGGGAACCAGTGCCATGAGCAGGCTGACACCAGACTGAGACAGCCAGACCCCAGCCCCTTCCGGTGTGCAAGCTGGCAAATAAGAAGTACCAATCACCAGCACTCCCCTCATGCCTGGAGTTGGTCCTTTTTCCTTCTCTCCACAAGGCGATCCACCTCTCCTCTGCCGTTCTGTGATGAGCCAGGCATCTCAGTGTGGCCCTCCTGTTGGCTTCCTGCTTGCCACCCTTAGATCCGAGTTCTTGTGTCCGCAGGGTTGAGGACAGGCAGGGGCTTAGCACATGTGTATCTGCCTGGCAGAGCAGTTTCTATACAAAACATGCTAGCTACAAAACCAGTTTGCTTCCCTTGAGAAAATGAAAGTCAGTGCCGCCTGAAAACATTTCCCTTTGAATTTCAGAAGAAAAAGATGTATGATGCTCTGGTACATAGTGTGCTTAAATAAAAACTGGGTTGAACCAAGAAGTCTTCCAGTCTCAGAGGTCTGTCTCTGGCATCCCCTGTGTTGCGTTGTACTTGGCTTCAGGACATTTGGAGTAAAGTTCTGCTTGGGATCACGTCCTTGGGGCAGGGCAGCAGAGAAGCCTCTGGCCTGGTGTTGGGTTGAGTTCAGCCCCTGCTTTGGCACCCACTGTGGACTTGTCTGTGAAGGAGTGCTACTTGTTGGGCACTACTGGAGTGGCTCTGGGGGGACCTTAGCTTCTGGAGTTTATTTAGTGGGGCAGAGGTCTAACAGAGGGAGGCCTGAGCACGAAAGTAAGAGGTACGTGGACTGCCAGCTAGGGAGAGGGACTTGGCTACTGTTTGTGAGCCCTGTTCTGGGACTCTACCACCTTCAGGAAGTCTCACTTGGCTGTCCCAGCTGCTGTGATGGGGACACACGGGTCAGGGCCCTATGATAAATGTGGGGATGCTCTGCAAGGGTTTCTCAGCAGGTTAACAGTGGAGGATGCCAGTGCATGTTGGGCTAGGTATCTTATTTTCCCTTTCTAAAATTCTGCGACTGTCCTGCAAACTATAGGATGGTTTGCATCCTTATCTCTTTCTGTACTAAATGCTTCTGGTATCCAACCATCAGCATGGCCAAGAACTGCTCCCACTTTCTTATTTCTAACGGTCCCTGCTGTGGATTGGTAACTGGCGTCCACTTAAACACCAGTGGAACTAAATCAGCATGGTACCGTGTGGCTGGCCCACCTAAGGATTGTCGCCAGCATGAAAAGAAGACCTAGAGAGAGGACGAGTATCGGTGTGGGTTCTCCTAAGTGGTGCTGGTACTCCTGGACGAGCTTGTCATGCTGGCTCCCCAGATACGAACTCAGCTATTACCATCAGAGGAACCTGGGATCTTGTTGCTGAGAACAGCTGCAGTTCACTTTGGTCCTTAATTTATTGCTTCCTGGCTCCAGCAGGGCAGATGAGTGCTGTTCAATCTACAGAAGTTGTCATGCTGGCTTCCTCATATGTACTTGACTGTTCTCATCATTAAAGCTAAGGATCTCATTGTCACTGAGGATGGCTGTGGTACTTTTCTAGGGAGTCCTGGTCCTTATTTTGAGCATTGCTTCCTGGCTTCAGTGCAGACCCTTCACCCTGCTGACAGGCTTTCCAGTTTCCACTGCTGACCTTTGGGCCTTCCAGCAGGTTTGTCAAATAGACTTGCATGAGGCCATGTGATCCAGGCCATTGGCTGGATTTTCTAGGTCTTTAGTGTTGTGGACAGATTTCCTGCATTTTCTTTGTATTTGACTCCTTGTGTGACCATTATAAGTAACACTATAAACCATGTGACCTGCATTGTCTTACTCTCCTTGCAAACCTGAGTATAACAGCCCCTGTGGAAGGTCCCCCATTCTAAAGAGCAGGTTTCCGAGCCACTGAGCGCGCCTACTGAGTTTCCCACCAGGAAGTCCTTCATGCAGTTGTGATTTATCAAGAGATCATACTGCCTCACAGGCCAAGTCCTCAGGCCCACAGCAGGCAGCATCACTGAATCTGTGAACAGTGGCTTCAGACTGAGCATCTGTTTTCAGGCGTGCCTGCCTGGTAAACCAATCTAAAAGGGATGAACGTGAAGACTTACTACTCAGAGAAACGGGCGCTGGAACCTAGTCTGACTTCTACCCTGGTCTGATTTTTAAAAAGTGAGCTAGTTTTTTGAGCTTTGGTTAACTCACCCATATAGATAAAAATGAAAAACTCTCCTGTTCTTGGCCCTAAGGTCCTTTCTAGTTTTGAAGTTAATCCCACCAAGACGGATGGATGCTGTACCTGATGTCTACCAGCATGTGAAAATGGAACAATGTATCTAAGACCAATGGCTAGCAAAGAAACAGTTTACACCGGAAAAATAATTCTTACCACTCAAGTTTTAGGGAAACATTTTATAATTTATATATAAAATCTCAGTAAGAAACCATGTAAAATGACAGAAATATTCACCTTACATTGAGTCGAAAAACAAAAAACAAAAAAATCCATATACACTGAATGTATATTTTAATTATAAAACAAAGAGTATGAACAAAACATTTTAAAATAATCTCAATTATTTGGCAACTCATCACATCATTGCAAGAGACACATCTGACCTTAAGAAAAGATTAATTTTATGAAAAACTTAAGTTGGACAGTTTGCTCATATGGAAGTTAAAACATGTTTAAAAAAGAACCTGGCAATAAAACCAGCTTCTATCAGGAAATAATTGTGTATAAAAACAACATAAAATCCTGAAGCTGCGGAGGCAGAAGTGACCTAATAGTCAGCGCATGTCCCTCTGCTGAGGGAGGGGACGGGATCCCTCGGGAAGCCGCACACAGCACGGCGCAGGGACGGACGCCCAGAGGGGCCCGCTGTGGGGGAGTGACTTTACCTGAGCCGGAGTCCCTACCGTCACAAGGCTGGTGGTAAAGTCAGGGATGCGAGTACAATCTAAAAATGAATTAGTCTTAAAAAGCAGTCGTGACTGTGAACAGGAAGGAGAGCAACAGAGACCCTTTCTTCAGCTAAACTACCTTACTCGGATACATGCGAGAGTTTCTGTATTTCCCGCGGGTCATAAGAGTTACAGGGCAGGCAGAGTCCTACAAAAGTCTCTACTAATGACTGCATAGCATTTAAAACCCTTTTTATTAAAAAAAAAATAATAAAATAAAATAAGCAGATATATAGTAAAGTTCACAGATAAGTTTTCTCTGTAAAATAAATAAAGTGTTCATTGATCAGCATCATACACAGAGTAAAATACAACCTGTTTTTTACATGTTTATATACTATACACAGACCACCAGACGGCAGCCTGGGTCTGATGGGCTGGAAGGACTGCTTCAGTGATGGGTCACGAAGGAAAATCCCGATTTCAAATGTTAAAATATACAACTACTTTGTTTTGAGTTCAGATACAAGTAAACTTATTTTCCTTTATCTGAAATAAATGTACATAATATTTTCTATGAACAATAGTTTATAAAGCTGTTTAAAACAAGAAAAAGCTTGCATCTAGGAACTCACAGCACATGCATATCTGTTTCTTGGTTAAAAAATTGCCTGCAGTACAGGTGGCTCATCCTGTCCGCTCCGCAGAGCTCCCAGAGGCTGTGGGGACGCTGGTTGGGATTACCGCTTTGCCTTCTTCCCGGGGGCCTCCTCCCCTCGCTGCTGGCCTCGCGTCCGCGCCCCAGGAGGGCTCACTTCTCTCTTGCGCTTGGTAGAAGGGGAGAGCTGTGTCTTTGATCTGCAGTAAACGAAAGTCCAGGCAACCATGAGAGTTATAAGCAGCTGCTTCAAATACTTCAGGAGTTCTTTAAAAATGCAAGGAACTGGACTGGACTGCTCAGAGGAGAGAAGCCCAGTCACATCTACAATAGAAAAGGAGTCTGAGCTCTTTGGTCATTTGCTGACCACTTCATACACACAGGGCCCAGGAAAAGTGTTCAAGGCTGTGTTCTGGTTCAGCTCTGACACCTCTGGTGTTGACCTTGGTCAAATCAGTTTTCCTCTCTCAGCCCAAGTTCTCTCCATAAAACAAAGGAATCCACTGCTAACCCTACTAGTATACACACTGCCCCAGGCTGAACCGCCGGGAAGAGCGCAGGACTACAGCCGAAGCTCTGACCCAGTACAAAACCACGTCTCAGTGTGACATTACACAAAGAGCTGAAGTGCTAGATAAGGAGATCCGGAAAGCATCCAACCAGTCCTCCACTACCCACCCACTTATCTCTGTTATTCAGCCACCAGTGACTTGTTAGGGAACTAAACTAATGTCACTGTCCTCAGACACACTCAACCCACACTGGCTCTGCAGCTGTCACCATGGCCATCCAGAGCCTGGCACAGCAGCTCTCCCCACGCATCCTGAGTTCCAGCTCTTGCAGAGAGCTACCATTCCCAAACAAATGACCTCCTTTTACATCTTCATGCTTTGATGTGTGGTATTTTAATAACCATCCTGACAAGAAATAAAAATCATCTTAAGCCACCACCTGATCAAACTCCCTCCACACTGGTGGTGCTGGAGCCTGAAGCCAGGGAACACAGAGCTACAACCCTGACCCTATTTAGCAGAACTGTACAGACAGTTCTGCTAAATAGCCTGGACTGGCCTTGAACTGGTGATTTTTCAGCCTCGGCCTCCAGAGTAGCTGGGATTATGGGGCATACCAGCACCGTACCCAGCTCCGAATTCCCTACTGCTAAACACCAGTTAAAAATCATTTCCTCTGGGAAGCCTTGGGGGTCACACGGCAAGCTGCTCCCTCTTTGGAAACCCCTTCATACTTGGGACTGTCACCACGGTGCCTACCACTATAATTCACCTGCTGGGCTTTTCCACACTGCAGGTCACAGTCAGTATGTTACAGCAGCATATTAATAGAACACAATAGGAATTAACATCACTATCACATGGATTAAGTGGACTCCTCAAAGTTCTGTCTTGGTCACTGTGGCAGGACAGTGAGAACCAGATACTATATACTGCAAAACATATATTCTTATTGTAGGTTGCTGTCTGAAAGTCAGACACCTAACTCTCTCCTATGAGACGTGTCTCCAGGGCAATGGCTGACATTCATTCACTTTCCTAATCCAGGGCTTAATGCAATGTTCAACCCACGGTAGCAAGCAGTAAATGTTTTGTCAGGGAATGAAAAGACTTGGAAAGGAACTGCTAGACAGGGAAAGAAGAAATCTGTGCAGACGCTGTGGTTCTCACATAATGGAATCCATACCTATGTTGAGAATGGCTAATTAGTAGTGCTTGGTCTCCATGAGCATTCATTTACCTAAAAATACCTCACGTTTATTCTTCTTTATGACAGCGTAGGATTCCACTGTATATAAATACCACAATCTTAAGTAAACCAGACACACAGGCTTAAATAGCACACTGTTTTTCTTGTGTGAGAAACACAAAGGGTAAATAAGGGGCAAAATGAAGGATATATATTGGGAAGGGAAGATATTGGGACAGGAAACAAGGGAGGGGTCAGAGAAGAAGAAAGAGAAAAGTAGTTTCAAAAAAAAAAAAAAAGAGGAAGAAAAAATGGAAACAAAGCTTTTATGAATGGGGAGGGGAAGAAAGTTTGAAGGGAGGAGAAAGGAATGGGAAAAAAATACAGAATTAAGATATATTATGTGCAGGTACAAATTCCTCAGGATGAGTAGAACCATTATGAAGATCAAACATACTTTAAAATAAAGTAGTGCATGTTAATAAGCCATCGGGCACTCATTTACTGCAGCAGTGCCCACACAGACGGGAAGGGGGAGGCGGGGGGCGGCGGCACCTTGGGAGGCGGTGCAGGCCCTGCACGCCACAGAGGCAGTGACCCATCGAGTGGCACTGGCACCCAGGGTCTGTGAGCCACGCAGGTGCTGAGGCCAAGCCCAGCCCAGCCCTGGAGTCCTGACCTGCCCTTCCAGCAGACGACTCCTCACTCAACTCTTGAGATGCATGCACGCACATCCTCCTGCGATGCTCCCCTCACACAGTGCTACCTTTCATCTGGGGAGGCTCAAATAGAAACCGCTCGCCTTTCTTCTGACGACACAGGGATAAGTGTGTATTATATTATAAACATGTTGTGAAGATCTAAATGTGTAAGGGTCATCAAAACAGTATGCACTGAATCATCTTTGACTTTTAAGTGCTATACAGTACAGGACATTAAACAAAGATTTTGACCTCAATGAAGAAAGTGCGGAGGAGGAAGCAAAAGCCAGGTGCCTTGCCAGTGCCACCCACCATCCTTACCTATGCAGTACCGCCTGGACGTGCAATAGGAAGAAGAGACCACAAAGGGCTGAAGCACGGGGGAAAGGTACCCTGCAGGAGAGGGGTGAGGAGCAGTGCACACTGCACCAGCACAAGCAAAGGAACGAGAGGGACTCAGCGGGGCCTGCGGAGGCAGAGCCCACTCTGCAGTGCAAGTTTGGAGGAGGCAGAGGCTGTGTCTGAAAGGGCCATGCAGCTGTGTGACTGAATCATTCTTGCAATGCCCTGGGAATGCAGAAACAGCTCTGGGCTGTGACAAGCCTGACCATGCCAAGCCAGTCATCAGGGAGGAAACCTGCCCTGCCTCTGGTCTTGGTGGATGGGAGCTGCCAAACAATGCTCCTGTGTCAGGGACAAGCCTATGTGGCCAGGCCAGGCAGCAAGGCCACTAAAGACATCGTTTGGGTCCGTCCTACTTCTGTTCCCCAAAAACAGTTATTTGGTGAGACAAAGATCTGAAAGCAACTTAGGAAGAAAGTAACACTGTCCAAAAATAGTCCCAGGGAGTCAACATGACTTGAGGTGCAAGCAGGGACTTACCTTCCTAATGGGGGAGATTTACTAACTTTTTCGTTGGTAGGTAACTTCTCTTTTGCTAAGTTTTGGCGATTTCTAGGAGAAATTGTTTCTGGACTGCCAAGTTTGGATGTTGCACGTGTAGATGGCTTGCTATGATGCTTTCTGAAACAGATTATAGAGACACTGGGCAATGGTAGTGCTGAGTATGCCAGTTCTCAGGACCATTTAGACAGGATGAGGCTCCTCATGAGCAAGACAGAGCAGTAGATGGAAGGCAGGCAAGGGCTTCTTCCTTGACCACCACCAGAAGGCAGATCTTGACAACATCCAAGGCTAGGTCTACTTGCGTGACTCTTTTACTGCGCGTGATATTTTACCATGACTTAGAAATCAATCTGTGACACAGAAAGGAGTACACCAGCTGGCAAAATAAAGATACCATAGAGCTCAGAATAGAATAAGAAGCCAGGATTCACAAAAGCACAATTCACAGGGATAAATGGTGAAGTTCCAAGAGTCAACAGCATGAGAAAGAAATCAGGTAAGGGAAGATCTGACTCATCAGTAAAAACTAGGCAAAAGCACTTGTTTAGCTCAAACTAAGACACTTGGATACCTACTGCAAAAGAGGACAGGATAGATAAGGCTGGACAATCATTTTCTGGATTTGTAAGACCACACTTAATACAAAATACCAATTTTTTAATGAGATGAGCTAAAGAGAGTGAACAGGAATGATGACAAGGCCCTAAACAAGCAGCAGCTGCCTGTAAATATTTGAGAGAGAATTATACAAAAGTCCCTGAGGGTAGAACTAGAGCCAAGAGTAGCAGGTAGGAAAGGGTGGCTTCATTTCGACAGGAGACTGATGGGAGGCAGCGGCTTCTCCTGCCCTCTGAGGTACATGTGAGAGCAGGAAGACTCCTCCCAGGAGCTGCTGACTGAGCAGCTCACACACTGAAGGACCACACTACCTACAGAAGGACGACCAGTGGGGACACATCCCACCCAGAGCACCTGGAAATTACAAAGGGCCAGCGTCCTGGAACCCATCACCCAAAGCTGCAGAACTGAAGTCAAAGAAAACAGAGCCCACTTATAAAACTGGGCGATTAGCAATTAATTTCCATAAATTAAATGATTTACTTTTAGAGGGCACTTCTATAGAGAGGCAGTCTAACAGCCTTTTTTGGATCCTCACTGGGCAGCAGACAGGAGGTCTGTGGGAATGCACCCTGAGTGGAGCCTCTCCGACTGGGCCTGTGGAGTGCAGAGGCCATGCTGCAGGTGGCCCAGCTCTCTCCCAGCAGGACTCCTCCAGCTCCGTGACTTCTATTTGCCTGAGTTGCACAACCAAAAAACCTCAAATTGGAGAGCACTTTACTTTCGGTCTCCTGGGCTCCTTGGGTGTTTGGCTTTAAAGTCCGATTCTCTGAGAAACCAAACCTTGGCTAATATGCCTAACTCTGAAGGAACTACAAACAGGTTGATTTTAAGTCTATGTGAATGCAAAATACACTTATTATTATTTTTTTTTTGTGGTACTGAGAATTGAACTCACACTGAGCTAAATTCTAGTCCTTTCTATTTTGAGACAGGGTCTTACTAAGTTGCCAGGCTGGCCTACATTTTATGATCCTCTTGCCTCAGCCTCCTGAGTAGCTGGTATTACAGATGTCTGGCATCATGCCTGGCTTATGACACTGTTACTATTACATTATGGTGAAAGGTGTTAATAATGGCACTTCTTTTTTTTTTTTTTTTTGGTACCAGGGATCAAACTCATGACCTTGTATTTGCCAGGCAAGCGCTTGTGCCACTGAGCTAAATCCCTGGCCCAATAGTGACACTTCTAGAAATGAGTATTTCTGAACTTCTTCATCAATTTTAGGTAATATGATTATACATAATTATGTTAAAATTAGCCATGAATCCTACTAAAAATATAAAACATTCTTTCTTTGCAAAAATAATTGAGAATTCGGATGCGCCTGGATGGCCACACACCACTTCTCCACATGTGCCTTGGAGAAGAGCGCTGGCTGGAGTCAGCTAGTGGTGGGCTGGTGGTCAGCAGAGAAGCACTCGAGCGCTGCAGGCCAATTCTGCTTGTTTAAACAATGTTGAACAGGATCCCTTCCTTGAGGGCTCTGGTGAGCCCTCGATAAGTTAATGTTCACCGAGGCTGAGGGGAGAGAGAAGCGCAGGCTTTCCCAAGCTCTCCTGACTGTGGGGATTTAGCTCAGCAGCACAAATGCCTGCGAAGCTCACCTGATTAGCTACTCTTCTCCCCAGAGGCTTCTGGCTCTGCTAGAATTCAAGAGAATACACTTTGCGAAACATGTGGAATTACCATTCATGAGAGTATAAAAATGGCCACATTTGGGTTGGGAATTTAGCTCAGTGGCATAAGCACCTGCCTGGCAAGTGCTAGGTCACGAGTTCAATCCCCATTACCAAACAAACAAACAAACAAAAAAGCTAAATTTGGGCAATTTCCTATGATCAACAACACAAGTATCGACAGTGAGGTGGCAACGTGTGTGCCTGATTTCCCATGCTCCAAGGTGAAGCGTGCTGAGCGAGGTCCCTGTGTTCACTGTGTCTTTCTACTCACAGAGCTCAGGACAACGGCTGAGGAGATGCCCACAAAACCTGTGTGGAAGAACTGACAGGTTCCACCAGTGAACACAGGAAACCGACAAAGATTCTGAAATGACCCCTGAAATAACTGAAGACTGAGAATGGGTTCTCCAGGAAGACTGGCAGAGGGCTGACAGCAGGAGCCCTCTGCTGAAGATAAAATGAAGCCAAAAGCTTCCCAGTGGCAAGAGCTGTGTAGTTGGAAGACAATCCCACAGAACCTGGAGCTGTTTCCGGGAGAAGCCAGTGAAGCATTCCAGCAGCTGTGTGGCACCCCCGTTACCTCTGCGCCTCTGATCTGGTAGTGGACCGTGTGGTGGCTCCCAAGGGCTCATCCTCTTCCTCGTCTTCCTCCTCCTCATCAGATTCCTGATCTTTCTTGTCTTCAGTTGATTCGGAAACCAATTTCTGGCGTTTTCGTTCCGGCTCTGAGGATTCTGTTCAGACAGAATAACAACACCTGGGTTGTACAATTCCCAAAGACACTTCCAAAGGAGAGTCATGGAGTTCAGAACTTAGGGTATTAGGGACTTGGAGGCAGAAGAAGTGGTTTTCCACTTCCTTTTAGTTTCAGCACTTGCAATTCACAACTGTTTAACTTAATCTCAAACACATTTGGGATAGTTTACTTATGTAGTTCACAGCCAGCATTGATGAAAAATTCACATGTACTCAGAAAAGCATCTGGAATGTAGCATTTCTGACACAGGATTAGAGCTATTTCACACATATTTGCGTAATATTAATACTAGCTGCAATGCACTGGATTTTTTTCCCTCACCCAAAGGAAAACTCTTTTTTTAAAAAAGGTGACTTTGAAATAATAAGACTGTGACTGAGAATGTGCTAAGGACATACCTGCGTCATCTGACAGAGTGAGTGAACGTTTCGGCTTTCTTCCTCTCCGCCGTGCACTTGCTACTGTTTTTTCTTCACTGTCATCCTAGAAGTGATAAAATTAAAGTTGAGTGTGATCAACTCAGCATTTATGAAGCTTATTTTTAAAGGATTTATCTTGATCGGAAAACTAATACTTACATTGCTTGTACTTCTTTCTTGTAGGTTAGTTGTTTCTCTATTGGACTCATCTTTAAGAAAAGGAGAATCTTTGCATTAATAGTTAGTATTATAAAATTAGATTCAACAGTCAGTCTTGCTTAACTGTTAAGGTACCAGTGCTAATTAATAATATTTGGGTTTTTTTTTCTTTTGTTGTGGTGAGACAGAGTCTCACTATGAGGTTGAGGCTGGCCTTGGACACACCTTGTAGCCCAGGAGGTCTTGCAACGATCCTCCTACCTCAGCCTCTTGAGCGCTGGGATTACAGGAGTGTGCCACCACGCCCAACTAATTAATAGTTTTTACATGATTTATCATTATCTTAGTCAAACGAAGACAAAATGAAAATACTTAGGCAGAATAGTAGAATGTAAGGTAAGAGACTAAAGTTTTCATTTCAAATTTGCAACAAATTAAGCTGTGTGATCCAGTTCCCCAAGCCTCAGTATCTTTATCTGTAAGGCAGGAAGTTGGCTTAGTCAGCATTTTGGTTCCTTTCAGCTGCGATGCTCCCAACCCAGGAAAGAAGAGTAACAGGATGTGTAGGGGGCCCCAAACACTGCAGGAACTCTAGGCTGTAATAACTCTAGTGTAATAACCCACTGTAAAAACTCTAGGCTGAGTCTCTATCCCTTAACTAAAATGCTTGGGACTGGAGTTTTGTATTTCCTAATTTTGAGTATTTGCATATATTTAAGGTATCTTGGAGATGTGAAATTCATTTATATTTCAACATACTTTATAGAAACAGGTTAAGGCAATTTCATGCAATTTTTAAGAGAACCTGTTTGGACTGTAGCTGAAGCCCTATCATGAGATCTGCTGTGGAATTTTCCACTTCTGGTGTCACACTGGTACTTGAAAAGTTTTGGGTTTTACAGCATTTTATACTTTGGATGAAGGTCATCTGACCTACGCTTCTTTCAAATCTCAACGCAGCTCTTAAGTAATATAATTTGCAAAAATGAAACGCAAGTAACTTGTTTTCCACAATTTGTTTACACTCGCATGACTAATACACCAAGTGCCACTTCATTTCTTTTGACTCCTTATGCATTATGGCAATTAAAAAAGTACATGCCATAGGCACTATTATAGGTAAAATGTATTACTAATCATAATGTATTTGTTTTCTATATATACCTATAATTTTCTGGCAGTAAATCTTGGCAAGAAAAACGAAGATTAAGCAGAGCAATATTGGAAGCTAAAATTATGGGCATGTTCAAGAGACACTTAAATTCAACAGTAATTCTTATTAATGATGAAAATTATAGCTGTAGATGTCCTTTTCTGCAAGTTCAATATGTGAAAGAAGATGGAGAAATTAACCCAATAGAAAGGCCAACAACACACAACAAAACAACAACAAAAAGCAAGCCTGCTTACACTTCTAATCATCACCCAGATTCAGAAAATTACTGTCAATCCCAAAGATAACCACAGAGCTTATACTGGATCCTGTAAATAGCACAAAATTTATGAAGATTTTTTTGCATGAACTTAAAATATTTTAAAAGCCTTAATGAAAACCAAATGTAAGAATTCTCCCTTCTTTAAAAAAAAAAAAAACATCAACTTATCAAGAGACAAGAAAAACTGAAGTATAATCAAAAGTTTACGGGGTAGGTAAATGTGGAAGGAACTTTATACAGGTATTATGTATACCTTTGCTTTACCTGGCTGATATGATTATGTACTTTTCTAAGTTGACTCTGTATTGTTTATTTTAACAGCTGTCACGTTTACTCTTTTTGCTTTTGTTTTATATTATATGTTGGATCAAATCCAGAAGCATTTTACCACTGAGTTTTATTCAGCCCTTTTAATTTACTAAGTTTCATCTCTAGCCCTTGTTAAGGACTAAGTTGCCTAGGCTGATCTTGAATTTATGATCCTCCTGCCTCAGTGCCCTGAGTATCTGAAACAACATGTGTGTAAAGGGCACACCTTTGCTTTTGCTTTGGTGGAATCTGGAAAGCCCACAAACTGTTCTTGTTTTTATGTTAAAAGTTTCAAACTGTGAATCTAACACATACACACTGTAATATATCTGGAAACTGTCTGCAACACATGCATTCAAAACTGTGATTTCTGAGAACAACACTCTCCTGAGCTGAATCTGCATTCCTGATGTCAGTGCCCAATCCTAGGGTGATCTATTTCTTTCGTAAGGTACATTGGACAGTTCTACAGAAGGAGTGTTACTCTGGGGTTCTGTTATCTTTTCCCTCCTCTACGGAGGCTTCCCAGGCCTCTTAAACCTAGAAAATACCAGATTACAGATAGACCAAAGAGTCAGCCATGGCTCTAAGGACAAATATTTTTACCAAGGAGCCTACTCACTTCATTGAGAAGCAATAAAAATTGGAAACCTTCCCTAAAAGCCAGTCTCCCTGGCTCACTTAGGAAAACAAAATGACTTATAAAGTCAGTTTGAAAATGCCCTGTGTGGACTGCAAGTACACCTAGTTTATTAGGTCACACACAGAGAAATGCTCTAGGTCCATACCTGCTTGTGCTGCTTTCAGCTTGCTGCTAGGTGGAGAATGCTCTACCTAATTTCAAACAAACAAAAACAGTGAAATCAGCAGTTTTTCGTTATCATACAGAAAGGTGATGTATTTATTAAGCCTCTAATTATTACTAGACGGAACACTTGGAACCGAGTTTCTGCAGTGGCTAAGCACACGGAGCAAACATAGATGCCTCACACTTCTGAACACATAGTCTTTGCCACAAGCCTCTTCCCAGCCACCAGCTGCAATGCTGCAGGATGGGCGCTGAAGGCAGTGTTGTATGCCCACATGAGGCGCTCTGTTGGGTTGGCTTACGGTAATTCTACAGCAGTGACACTGTAGGTATCTTGTACCACTTTACAGCCAAGAAGATTAAGTCCCATGTAATAGGTCTCAAGTCACAGGTCTGAAAGTAAGTGGCACTGCTGGTGCTTCTGCCAGGTCTGTGGACATACGCTTTCTTCCTTACAGTGCTGTCACTGACATGCAGGCAATGAAACCCTGGTCCAGTGATTTTCCTAGCTATATACGTTAGAGCCAAAGTTAAAGAATGTTAAAAGATGAGGCAGCACAGAGGGCCTCCTGTGCTGTAATGAGCACAAAGCTTAGCATCAGGATGGTATCACAGACAGTAATAAGGTAGTAAAACACCTCGGAAGTCTCCATCAAAAGCCAGCCTCAAAATCATGAGAGCAAATTTCTGTATTTTAATCAAGATTAACCATAAGGCAAGGCCCTAGATAAAACTGTTTATATAAAAATATTACTGATCATAATATTTGAATGGTTGGGCATCCCATGATTTATTTAACAAAATCTTTTAAAGCTTTTCAAATACTTAAAAGTAGTTCAAATACTAGATATAACAGTACTATTCATTTTCCAGGTCAAGAACAAGTATTTGAAGAGTTCTTTTTCATCTTTTGCAAATACTCACAGAGATACTGCCAGTGTCTGTTTTGGAGTCTTCTTCTAAAAAAGACAAAAAATAAGCAAAAAAGCTCACTTAGAATGATCATTTCAAAAATTTCTAGGAACTGAAAACGTACCAAATACCTACTTGTTTTTGCTGCTGTTTCCACAGGGTATTTACGAGGTCTTCCTCTTTTCCTTTTAATAATAATTGGTTGATCTTCCTATGAGGGCAATGAAAAACAAAACCAGCAATTAAAGAATAATTCTGTTCTCTATTATACAAATAGCTTTTCTCCAAGTGAGACTGAAGAGCTCCTTCTTAAGAGGGCTCCAGTCCCAGCTCTAGGTGCAATGCTTCCTTTCTTCCCGTGCTGCTGTCCTCTCACAGGAACACACCCAGGGGTGAGGACTATGAGGTGAGGAGGTCAGGGAGTACTCAGTGAGTGTTGTTTCTTACTTTGGTAAGAACTGTGTACACGCATTTAAGAAGAGATTTAGTTCAAGTTACTTGGGATCAAATGTTATTGTTGGTAAAAAATAAAGAGATTCACTGAGTCTCATCCAGAAGTATGGAAAAGGACAAACCCCACAAAGGCTGTGTCCCAGGATTTAAGAGCCCCAGACTTGGGCCATTTGCATCCTCTGCCTGTGGGCTCGCTACAAACTCGCACAGGCCTGCAGTTGGGTTCCACCTGTAGCCTCTCGGAGCCCATGACGTGCCTTAAACAACCGGGTCTTTCTCGGACTCTCCTACTGTGTTCCCATTTCTGTCTGGCGGGATGCCACAGCCCTGGCAGCCTGCTGCCTCTTTCCTGTCCTGCTTGCAGGATGGCAGCACTCAGGAGCAAGGAAGGGAACCTGACACTGCCACTGGCATACCGTAGAGCTATCCTTCTGTGGCCATAACATAAGGAGGTCTTACAGAAAGGTTTTGATGCAAAAAGAGAACAAAATTAATCATAATGACATTGATAAAATACAGTGCATGAAATGGTGTTCCATGGCCCTTAGGAAAAAAAAAAAAAAAGAGTACTTAAATAATCTGAGGAAGGAAGCAGCGAAAGCGGTTCTCACCTCTTGTGATTTGACGCCGTCATCTTCATTCTGCTCTGTCTTTTCGCCCGTAGCTTCATTCAGTTCATCTGCAGAAAAGGCAGAGCTCGGTGCATACTAGTGACCACGGTCATCCTTCACCGCGGTCCAGGGCTGCGACCCGGTGGAGCTACAGTCACAGCCACACACGCATGTACGCACAGCACCTCACTGACAACAGGTCCACAACCCAGATCAGTAAGCCTGAGTTCAGTGAAGTGAGAGGCTCTTGAGGTAGAGCAGGGTCCAAATTAAAGAGTACCCCAAATCTTCTGTAGTACAGATGGGGATCAATGACAAAACAGGCGCTTCAGCTGCTTTGGAAGGCACCAGACTGGGAGGCAGGGCCAGCTGGGAGGCTTAGTCTCACAATTTACCTAACGAGATGCTTACTTACCTTTTTCCTCCACAGTCCTCAAAACAGTTGTGTGTGTCTCAGAATTCATTTGAGAAAATTCCTCCAAGTCTCCAGCGTTCTCTTCCTAAAGTTGAACAAGAGGTATTTTAACTTAAGTCTGTCACCATTCACCCTTTGCAAGTTTTTCTTTCTATTTCAAAAACAATTTCCTAGCTGTCTTTTAGAATAATCTGTTGGAAAATATTTTGTAAAAAGTAAATATTATTGCTGCTCGAGAATCTATAGAAAAGATAAAAATTCTGAAGGCAGAAAAGCCTGACATCAGGGGCTGGGGATTTAGTTCAGTGGCGTAAGCGCCTGCCTTGCAAAGCAGGCAGTCATGAGTTCGATCCCCAGTACCGATAAAAAGACACACACAAAAAAAAAAAGTTAAAAAAAAAAGCCTGACATCAGGTTCAACTATAAAATGGCATGGCTCTGATTATTCTTCCTGCAAAACGGAATTTATTCTTTTCCTCTCTCATTCTGGACTTCCAAAACTAAAGGATAAATTCACAGGAATTGGGTAAAGGTATTTTTTTCTCTATGGAGTAGTAGACAGGAGTGAGTAGAGGGAAGAGGTTTCTGGGTACCCATGTGGGTTACTAAAGAGCAGTGGTCTGTCAACAAATTATTCAGTGAGTCATAGAACAGTTTTGAGCAAAACTAAATTTTAAATTGGCTTCTAAATGGCCCATTAAAGTAAATATAAAACCCTCTTTATTTATTTAATTTCTTGAACAGTCTATAGGTTAAGCCTGAGAAAGGGCATCTGTGAAGAGGTATCTAGTAAGACAGGGGAAACCTGTGTCTTGAGTAAAAGGCGGGTGAGGAATAAAGCTGCAGCAGCTACGTGCCTGAGCCCTGAGACCAAAATGAGATCGTGAGAAAAGGCAGCGGGCGAGCCTGACCCTGGCAGCACCTGCACATCAGGAGTAAGACGCTAGCGGAAAAGGAAGTGTAGTGTTAGTATTTTACAGCAGTGTGTATCACTGTGTTTCAGTATTTTGGTGCTGGTATATCTGGACTAAAAGCACATTATACTTTGGAATAAAGTATCTAGAAACATCAGGATATCAACAACATGACTGAAAAAGCCCCAGGTAACTGTTATATCTAAACTGTGACATTAATACCACCTCTTAGTTTAAGAATCAAAAAAGCACATCTTGGTGAGGGTGGAAGTAAAAATAGATATATTTTATAATAAAAAAGGTATTTATTGTTTTGGTTTACCCACAGTAAAAGGGATACCAAATTGAAAACCGTATTGCATAAGAATCCACAGTGATGTAATTAGGGTACCACCAAAGCTTAACATACAGAAAAAGTACCTTTGTGTCTTCTGGTTCAGTTTCAGAGCACTGTCTCTGTTCTGTTTCTATTCTGGAATCCAGGACATCTGGATTATCATCTGTAAATCAGTTTGGACAGAATCACAAAACAATAAAAGCTAAGGGAAAAATGAAATGCACTGTTCTATTTTAAGACAGGTTGAGGCTTCAGTTTTAGCCCTGCAATAAAGTCAAAGTTATTTTAAAAGTATTTAAAATGTCATATGCTTTGGAAGGCACCAAACATAGGCCATTGGCTTGGACAAAGTAAAAAAATGTAAAATACAACATTAAAAAATCTCCAAGTGCTAACATGATCTCAACTAGCCTGGGCTTGGTGACAGAGTCCCAGAGATACTTCCTGAGTGGTGACCAGCTGAGGAGGTAAGGCTGGTGAGTGAATGAGACTGCAGGTTCTGGAATCAGACTGGCTTGGTAGTAACTGCTCAGAACCTTAAATTCTCCACTTAATTAAATGGTAGTAATACCTACTTCATAGGATTACTTGGGAATGTATATAAAATATCACGGCAGTACCTGAAGAGAACACAAATTCAATAAATTACTACAGGGGCTGGGGATTTAGCTCAGCGGCATAAGCGCCTGCCTTGCAAACCTGTGGTCATGAGTTCGATCCCTGGTACCGGTAAAAATACCAAAAAAAAAAAAAAAAAAAAAAAAATTACTACAAAGTACTCTTATTCTCTTAATTACAGAGAGAAATTGGTAAAAACCTATTCTTTATTATATATCACTCAAGTATTAGTTTCTACTTTGTGTCAGGTAGAAAGTACTCTACACTGTTCAATAATGGTGGAATTGAAATTTAAAATGAAAAACAATTAAAATTTTATTCCTTCATTCACACTAATCACATTCAAGTGCTCAAGTGATATACCCAGCTCATCTTCTGAGGAAGTGTAATGCTTCTTCCCCTTCCTTTTAGGGTCATGCCTTTCTTCCTCTTCAATCTGGAATTAAGAAAGACCCCATTACAGGCAATAGAATCATGTAACACCTAAAGGTAAAACCCTTTGGAATAAAAGTTATATATAAACTCACCATTTTCATACCCAGACTTAGGTTAGACTAATTTTCTAGGCTTGAGTCTTTTTTTGGATTGAATGTAAATCCTTGTAAAAATCTGTATCTGTATCTGGTTACATACTGCATTTAACGATTCTAAAACACATGCTTCAAAACATTTTTCACTTTATTTCTGAAATCAAGTTCAGTCCTACACTGATGGTATACTATAATTAGTAGTGTTTTTTTTGCTTTTTAATGGCCCACTAAAATGGGTTTCATGCAGCTGTTGAAAAACATGTACATGAAAATACATTTTGGTCATACAAGGTGGGCATTTCCAATAATCTTGGAACTTACCAAATTACCTAAACATTATCACAGCATAAGCAGGTAAAAGGGCAGCGCTCTTAACACATCCATTTAACAATTTACACAAAGAGTAAAGCCTTTCTAAAGTTTCTCTTTTGTGTTCAGCTCAAAATACCCCCAATGAAACATGAAATGCTTTGAGCTTGTTATGAAAACATACCTCTTTAGGGTCTGCTTCAGTACTGTGGCCTCTTGTGGTCTCTGTGTTGTCTTTTCTGTCACTGGATATCTCTTAGTAAATTTAACAAAGAAAAAACGTCTTAAATACTTTTAAAATGTTTTTTCTATTAGGATATATTTTATTACGGTGTATGAGAAACTGGATGCAGTAGTTCTACTGAGTATGAGTTATGAATGAGGCACTGCAGTAGACAGTTAACAAACGATTTGGGATGGATCGTCCCAGTAACTGTCAGGTACGTTCTAGTTTTTGCTATTGGTAGACATGAGTAAATGGGGTTCATTGTGGGAAATAACATGTCTAGGACCACACAATGGATTTTATACTCAGACTTCAAAGCTTTTCCCTTAAGCTTGGGTTGCATCTCAGCACTGAGAAACGTCTGAGGAAACCAAATACAAAAAGAAAATAAAGTGCTTTTACTAAAGACCAAAAAAAAGCAAAAAAGATCTAACAAAAGCAAAGCTATACTGTGTAACAGTCATCAAGTCAGTGAATATTCAGCAATCTAACACTACCAAGTATAGCAGATGACACAGAGGGACGACTGCCACTTGGATATAGCTGGCACACCTAGGAACACTGGAGAGCTCCCTCTAACAGTGGCTCCACCCCAGACACACAGCTACACTGCACACGTCCTGTGAAACAGGTACAAGAGCATGCAGAGAAACACTCTCTGTAAGCAGAGCCTTAAGGAAGTTGAAAAACACTTTTAACTATCCACCAAAATAGTGAAGGACAGAACCAGGGTACACTGACACAATGGATCCTAAGCAGCAGTTACTCTGATTTCATGGTGCTGGGATCATGCCCAGGGGCCTATGCATGCTGAACAAGTGCTCCTCTGCCACGGCCACCAAGTTACACTGCAGCCCTAAACTAGCAATTCAGAGCTACACAAATCAACACGACCCAATCTAAGAGTACTGCACATGAGCTGTAGTGGAGACAGTTTACATAACGTGGTCTTGTTCCCTTAAACAAGACCATACATGCTACGTATCATTTATGAACCTGGAAACTGTATATACGGAATGCATAATTCCTTTTGGAAAGGGTTAAAGGGAAACAGACTGAGACTGGGGAGGGCTATCAAGAAATCTGAGTACATTTGCAACATTTTCTATGTGAATCAATATGCTAAACTTTAAATTAGGCAATGGGTACATGAGTTTATAATTACTACTATTTTACTTTTGTTTTAAATGTGATGTTATAAAAATAATAGAGAAAAATCATTAGAAAACCAGCAAAATCATTAGAAGCCAACAAAATGCTACATTCTGGCTAGAACTGGTGGTCTGTACAGATTGTGCAGAATGAGGCCTTACCCCTGGGAGAACACCCACAAAGGGTAATGACCTTGATCTGCTACAATACTGAACCTACCTGCCTGAAATTACCAAGTGTTTGGTGTTTAGACTTTGATGGAATGAACCACAGGGCATTTCGTACTCACGTGGGACTGAGTGTCTACTGTGAGATTCCTAGTAAAAGGTCTAGCAGCTATTTCAAAGAAGGTATCACTTCTCAGCTGCAGAGCCTTAAACAATTCACCCGAGCTCTACAAACCTCAACTTCTTCAACTACAGATGTGATGTTTAACATTCACTTCACAACATTATATGAATTAGTAGAGGAATCTGTGAAGTAATTAACACAGAGCTTGGCCCTCAAAAAATGGTAATTGTAATTAATATTAAAATTATTATTAAGGAATTCATTAACTTACCTCCTTTGTTACAAGATTTACTAGGAATTTCTTCATTTGTTTCTGAGCCTGAGTTCTCAACCTAAACACACAACATAAAGGGTAACTTACAGTTTGTCTCACAAAACACTTAAACGTAATGGGAAAAAGGGAATTTATATAATCTCTCTGTGGAAATTCCAAAAGAAATTAAATACATGTTCTTTTCCATATACCCAGAAACTCATAAGCCTAAAACACTGCCTGTGTGAAACAATTCAATCTAATTTCTCAATGCTTATTTTTATCTTCAAAATAGAGATAATGAATTTCTTACCTGCAAAAAAGTAGGAAATGAGAGGCCACTATCTGAATTTTGTGAATTTCCTTCTGATCCAAAGAGTTCTCATGATTTTTTCTTTCCTAAAAAACTGTTGGAAGGATTCTGTCCTAAGACTACCTGTCTGGCAAATCTTATCAATAGTTATTTTATTTATTTATTTAAACTGAAGGGGAACACCTTAAAATACCCTACAACACTCTAAGTCCCAGCTACAGACCTCTGTGCCTATTTGAAGGTCTGCTTGAGATGTGTGGCTGGTGGCAATACAGGCTAAGACAGGAGGGGACGAACGCTGGCTGGTAACAGATTTCAGTCCACTTATATCCTTGTAACTCCCAGACAGCAGCCCCAAACCATACAAGTGGGGCTTTTTCTCTTTCTTTCCAGGTGCAGAACACACATCTAAACTTTCAGCTATAACACAGTGATTCAGTGGTGAGGCAGCCATTAGGACCAACACTGGTGACAGTTACCAAGGATCTCCCAGCTCTAAGGGTGTTCAAGAGAATGTGGCTGTGTTTCCCTTAAATACAGTAGGTAAAGAAAAAAAAAATCATACATGTATATAGTAATTACGTTTTAGTGTTTCGGGCAAGCTTTTTAAAAGAATAACATAAACTTCAACTCTCAAACTATTTTGGCCAGAATGATTTCAAGACACTGGAATCCAATTTTTAATTATCTTATAACAATAAAACCAGATAGTTCAGAGCTCACCAGTAGTAACAGGTGAATATGGAGAAAGGCAAGTACACACTGCTGTCAGCATCTGCCCCGAGGGAAAAGCACACTTCCAGCACTGCCTTCTGACTCCTAACAGATGCAATGACTTCTCCACTGCAGGTCTCCTCCCTCTAGTAATGCTACCAACATTGCCCAAATCACTGCCATCACGGGTACTTACATTTAGGGATTCACTCAGCAATGGAGATTTTCTCTGTAGTTCAGCTGTCAGGGGAAAAAGAGAGAGAGAGACAGACAGAGACAGAGACACAAGGAAACAATATTGCTTTTCAATTACACAGAAAAAAATGCAGACTTTCAGGTTAAATAAGATTATGTCACTAAGTAGGCCTTTGTGAATTATAAAACTCTGGCCAATTATTTTTACAATCTGTGTTCCATCTACTACTAGAAAAACAATTGAAATTAATACTGCATGCATTTTTGTAGTAATGGCATTAACTATTTTGGTGATCTGTAGTTTAGAATAATGTGGAAGACCTTAATGTAACTGTTAAGCTGCAGGATAACACTGGTTCATTTAAAAACAATGCCATCAGATGAAAAGTTAGATCCTATTCCTTCAAATAGCAATAGTCTGTTTATGGTCTCTGGAAACTTGAAGTACAAGGTCTACTGTTTCTACTCAACAGTGACAGAACACACATATTTCTTTTAAACAACTTCCTTTTACGTAAATAGATCTCTTATTGAATTGTATCTAAACACACTAAACTAGCCTAAAATATAACCTTGGGAACAAAGGACTTTGCAGCCCAAAAATGTAACCTCCTTGACAATTAACAAATGTGATGTTATTTGAACTGTGAAACACAGGCCCCGCCATCTATTTTAACAATGTACCTTGGACAGATTCGCCATCTTGGGCATGAGTGACTTACTGGGTGATGGTGCCATATTGCAAGACTGACTGGTATCCCTATTTAGCGATAATCTGTTTACAAGACTCCTGAGCCACTTCAGCTGATTTTTTCTAAGAAGGTCACCAACTGCTGCTGCTCCCACCTCCCAGATAGTGGTCCTGAGGCTTTTACACACATGCATTACTAGTTCTTGAATCTAAGCGTTTCTACACCCACCGCCCCTTACACAGTTGCGCACACATCTCAGTCAATGACTTCTTTTCAATCTTGATTTCCCCAGATCTAATAAGCATCTGACTTGTTTTGTCATGGGAACAATTTTAAGATTAGAGCTGAATACAGTAGCCAATACAGCTGCCTCCCCAGCACTTTCCCCAAGAGCCCAGATGTTGGTCCAGGACAATGTGGTTCTAAAAACAAAGCACAATTGACTTAATTTCAATCAACTAGCAAGGTACGTTTCTCAGTCATAGATATGCATAATGAACACAGAGTTGAGTCCTGGATTTTGGCCACAAAAAGGACAAAGTTATTTTCCTATAGTCATGAATGAGAAAGCAATGACCTCTGTGGAAGAATGAGAGAAAAACCGAGTTTCTACCCGACATGCCTGTGAGGATGGATACCAGCTTGCGCTTGGATTAATTGTAGAGATTTTTGTCATTCGCCCCTGACATGCAGAGATACTCAACACTGTTTAGAGAAAGGAGATCTGGCTTAAATTTGGCCATATGCTTTATAAATGTCTAGTCCTGTGTTTTTTTCACTTTCCTTTGGGGCTGAGGCTTGAACCAGGGCCTTTGCACAGGACACAGACAATCCACCACTGGGCTGCACTTCCAGCAGAAATTTTTTTCTTAATATATGAATCAGAAGAAAATGTACAACATGATTAAAGTGCAAACCAGAAGTAATTCTTGACTATTGCAATTATTCCAGCTCACCTGCAAGCACCTGGGGCTTCTATCAAGCGGTCCACAAGGGATTCACTAATGTCACAGTATTGCTAAGACCTTATTTGGCTTACGAACTTGAAAGCACACAATGGGTTTTCCACAGGTATGAGATGTACCCACAATTAACTGAATAGTTTACAAAAACAATCATAAATCTGTGATTCATGTATTCCCATCAGAATATAAAAATAAAAACAGAGTGAATGTAGAAACGGATATGTAAGAAATCATTTTTTTTTTTTTTTTTAAATTTGTACCAGGGATCAAACTCAGGACCACGGGCTTGTAAGGCAGGCACTTATGCCGTGGAGCTAAATCCTCAGCCCTAAAACCATTATTTTCTATTAAGCCCAACTTAAAAGAGATTTACAAAAATATAAAAATGTTTTTTTTTTCACAAAATTTTGCTCTTTTGGGAAATCCAGCTATTTTTCATTTAAACAATGTTAAGCTACAGGGAGTTAATTTTACCAAATGAATACTTGTCAGTTTTAATTTCTTATTTGGTAAATGTCACCGGGTATAATTCACATAACAAAAACTGTTTGGGGGCCTCAGTACTTTTTCAGAGTGTAAAGTGGTCTTGAAACTACAATGTTGGAAAAAAGAAAAAAGAAACCACAAATTGATGGCTGCTACCCTGCTCGCCTGTGAGGCTGAGGCATTGCCCCCTCACCCCCGCACCGGCACCGTGCAGCTGCCAATGAACAGTGCTGCAGAGTCTGGGGCAGAGCCCCTGGGTAACAAGCACAGTGGGAGCTGCAGACCCCCTCTAGGGAGCACATTGCCAAGGGCTCCGAACGGGCAGGAAGGACATTTGGGACAGTATAAGCATATGCTCTAAATACTTTCTTTTTTGCTAAGTACTTTCTGTTATTTGGAGATATCAAAATTAAGCAATTACCGTATAGTGTGTATAACTGACATTTAATGAAAAAAGTACAAGCTAAAAATTTAATAAAGAGTAAGTAACTTCCTTTAATCTATTTTAAAAAGTGAGCGGCTAAAAATACATAGCAGTGCACACTTGTATACCTGTAACCCTTGCTACAAAGAAAGTTGAGGCAAGAGGAAAACAAGTATGAGGCCAGCCTGGACAACTCAGTGACAACTTGTCTCAAAATAAAAATTTTAAAAAGAGCTGGGTGTAGCTCAGTGGTAGAGTGTTTGCCTAACATGCACAAGGCCTTGGTTTTAATCTACTCCCCAACACAGAAAACAAATGAGAGACAAAAACTCAGTGTGTGTTTGATAATCAGGTATTGATTTTAAGCTGTGATGAAAAGTTAAAATACACACAACACAAAAGCAGTAAGAACAAGCATTAAAAAGGGCTTACCCACTGCACTTGGCTTTCCCTCAAGCAGACTTTTGCACACTGCTAGAACTTCTTGGTTTTTTGGTTCTCCTGAAGGCACAAATGTCTAAAAAATACAAGTCACCATAAGTAAGTTAACTATGACTTTTACAAGGAGGCAAGACAAGCCTCAAGATGAATCAGAAAACCCTGGCATCTTGAAACAATATGAAAATCTACTTTCAAGCTCATACAAAACTGAAAAATGAAGACACTGCCCTTTAACAACAAAACAAACCTAAAAAAGAACAAAAACTCAATCTGATCTTAAGTTTCATTCCTTGCTCTACTCTAAAGCAAACAGTGTGACCCATTGCCCCTCCTGCCACGTTTCTTCTCACCACTGTTGCAGAGAGCTGCTCCAGGCGGCGTGCTGCTGCCTCACCCTAGGGCCCATAACACACCCTCTGCTGCCCACTCAGGTGCCCCTGTGCAAGTTCCCGTCTCCCACCAGCACCATCTGTGGGGGAGCTGCCCTGGGAACACTGTGACCCTGTGACCCTATCAGGTGGCACTGGAGACTGGAAAGGGAGCATGGAGACTGGATTGCCTAGAAATCTTCTACATTGGGACTGGGAACCACAGACTGGGAACATGGAGAGGAAGTGTGACAGGAACTACCAAGCAATGGCTCGGATCAAGGTGGTGGCTGCAGAAGTGGATAAGCGCCTGTTCTGCTCTGAGAAAGGAATTCATCTGAATCAGCAATGGATTAAATGTCGGGGACATCCAGGTTTCTGGCTTGCGAAATGGAACTGATGATGGTCCTATATACTGAGATTATTGAGGTTCTCAGCTCTTCACCCGATATGGCAATACAATACTAGTCATCAGAAGTAGGATGAAAACAGGAGCAGTACACTGTTCTGTCTGGTCTGTCTCTGGATTGTGAAAAGGCAAACACCCACTGGCAGTTCAGCATACCTGAATTATTAACCATACCTTGGTTTTCAAGTTGGCTGTCAGTTCTGATCCTTCTAAAACTTTTGGTGAAGACTCTTCATTGCCTAATGGAATTCAAACCATTGAAGTATTAAGGATAATTTAAGGATCCAATGCATTCTAAGTAACAAACAGAACATTCTTTCTGGCAGACTTGGACCTTCCTGTGCTCGTTCACTTTACCATAAATAAAGAAGAATAAAAAGGACAAAGGGCATTTACTCATTTTGGAGGTGTAGAGTTCCTTCCTGTTTGCCCAGCAAGATGGCTGCACAGAAAAAATGATCAAATGTTACTCAGGGAGGCATCTTATTTCCCAGCAGTTTTCTGCAGTCACTTCCATAAAGTTTGTCCCTAAAATAATGTATTATGAGTTGCTATGTTCTCAGTAAAGAAGGTGATTTACAGACTGATTCATTTTACTTGTCTCCTACTGAAGCAGTGAAAGTGAACATCAATCTGAGAGGCAGACAAAAGGCAAATGGCATTTTCTTAAGTGGAGAGGCAAGTTCATCCTGGTCTTGCTTCTTTCCTTTTCTCCTACCCTTTTGCAGCTGTACTTTCTTCAGTTTCCCTAACCAGGTCCACATATAAAGTATCAAACAAAAGCCTTTTTTCATCCAAGAGCATGCAGAACTTTTCTTGCTAAACATGCTTTTATTTTTGCTCTTCCAGGGGAAAACTGGAGGAGGAAAGAGTAACAAGTAACAGATTGTTGCAATGATTGTGTTATAAAAACTTTCGGAGCACTCAATTTATGCTCAGCTACATTCAATGTAAAATTTTAAAGTTACTCATTTCAATCCTTAAAACATTTCTCAGTGTTTCCTTTCTAAGTCCCTATAATAAACCAGACTAAACCTGCTGGGCTCAATTTTTGGAGTCTAGGTTAGATAATAACTAAGGCCAGGTTAAGTCTAAAAGTACAGGACGGGGGGCTGGGGATAAAGCTCAGGGACACAAGTGCCTGCCTGGCAAGTGCAAGGTCCTGGGTTAAATCACCAGTACCAAACAAACAAACAAAAGTTAATAAAAGTCCAGGATGGTACAATTTACACAGCCCCTTCAAGTCTAGCATATGCATTTCCTTCCAGTTTTCCCCCCAGCCCACATACTGTTCACCTTACCACGTCCCTGACAACCTGGGTACAGCACATGGCTGGATTCACACTTGTCGTACCATCTTGACAGCTGTTTCTAAAAGACTGGCATTCTGAGGAATCTGAATCTGTCAGGAAGGAAATTCTATCACTTTAAAACATACTCTAAACCAGAAATGAATTCACTGTACTTGAACAGTAAATTCAGTTTAAAACAAGTGAGGGGCTGCAGGTGCCTAACTTGGCAGTGGGGCACCTGCCTAACTTGTAGGAAGCTCTAGGTCTGATTCTAGCACACACGAACATCCCAAATGCTCCTGATTAGAAGTAACAAGCTGACTGAACTTACACATTCTGGAAAATTTATGATAAGCTGAATAAAGTCTGTAATGTTTACTTTTATAACATCACTCCCCCGGCCGCCGATTCTCTCCATTTGCTACAACAGAAATAAGGCTTTGATTTTCCTAAGCAGTCCTCAAGTGCTGTACAAAGTATTTAGATTTTCTCTTTTATGAAAGGAGAGTGACATAAAGAAGTACTCCTTTCACACGGTTACAGTAAGGTATTCTTCCTTTTAACTGATGAGATACCCAAAGACCATGCAGCTGGTACAGCCCTGGGCTCAATTCCCAAAGTTTAGAAAATTCTGCAGGTCAGGTCTACAGTTAGCTGACTCCCCATGCTTCAGGCTTCTTTTCTTTTCCGACACATATGGAAACAGATCTGAACCTAAATGTAAGTCTCTTTTGGAGAAGCTTGACTGTTATGGTTTACATCTCTGTGTCTCCCGAAACCCCATGCCACCACAAGTGGGGACTCTGGAAAGTGGCTGGGTTAACAGGGACTTAGCGCTGACTTGCTGGTAGGAGGTGGGCCTGGCTGGAAGACTGTTCCTCTTCCCTGCTCCTCCCTGGAGCCCTCTGCTTCCCGGCCACTGAGCCTGTGCAGGTCTCTTCACCACTCTGCCCTGAGGTCAGATGACCGTGGACTGAAGTGTGAGATAAAATAATCCTGCCCTTCTTTCCTTAAATTTTGGGTTGTTGGTGTTTTGTTGTGTTATAATAAAAGAAAAAAATAATATTCACCTATCAGTATGAAACCAAAACCACCTTCAGAAGATAGCTTTAAATAAACTGCTAAACAACTGTTTTCTTAAAAAGCTAAAATATACAATTAGAAACAGATTACCTTTGTCACACAGATTTTGTTCTGTACCAACAGGAACCTCAAGGTCTCCCTGCCCAAGGAGTGGTGTCCTCATGCTGTGCCCTTCCTCCATCTTCTCAGCAGCTGCCACATCAGTCCGCTGGCCACCACAGCCATGCCCCGCACTCAGGTATCCCTCACATCCAGGGGCAGACGCAGCAAGGTGGCAGGCAGTGGGAAGGACTGCTGTGTGGGAAGGAGCAATTTCTGACTCTTGGCCCACAATCAACTTGGGGGCAGTGGATTTGGCGTTGTCTTCAGGACCATGCTGGTCAGGAGGAAGAGAGGAATACCCTGCAGCAGTGTCTCTGATAGGTGGCATGTCTTCAGCCTTTTTAGCACCGGTACTCACTGCTGCTGGAGAGTGAGTACTGACAGAGAGGCCCTCGGCCGGCTGCCCAAATGTCTGTTCCTGTCCCCTCAGGTGGGCAGCTGAGGTAGTACTGCTCTCCACACGCCCTCCTGCTGAACAATGGGCCATGCCATTACCCTCCACCTTCTCAGCTTCTGGGCTTTCGGCCTCAGTCTGAATGGGGCTCAATGACACATTCTTTTCCACATTTAGGAGATGTGAAGCGCTCTGGTGTTGCCCTTCTGCTATGCATAGGTCTTGCTGAGGGCAGTCCCTGCCGTGTTTCTCCCTCTCTCCGGCACACTCAGCACTTGGTTGGCCTTGGCCACGTGAGGGCTCACAGACTGGCAACTGGTCCAGCCCTTCCTCAGTGCTTGCTGCTAGCATCGGGCCCTCTATTTTGTCTCTTGTGATCAGCCCAGGGCACTGGCTGTTATTGTCAACTATTAGGCTGGGCATGGGAATCTCACACTTGCTCACCACAGCTGCTGACAGCTCAGCACTTCCTTCCGGGTTGCTCGCAGCCTGCTGATTTTCCCTACACTGTTCCAGGCTGGCCATCACCAGCACACACTCTGCTGTACTGGTGGAGATGATAGCAGCATCGCTGGAGTCTTCCATTCTTGCAGTGGTGGCCTGGTCCTCATCCAGGGGGACAGCACCAATCATGACTGCCTCACAGCCTTCAGAAGTACTCGTTGAAATCATGGCAGTGTCATTTGTCTCTTCTGTTGGTGTGACCAAAGGGCAGGCGACCTCCTGTGGGACAGCGCTGGACACAGAGCCCTCACAGTCTTCCACTGAGCTTGTTGAGATGACTGCATTTCCATCTGTAATGGGCTGTGTATTTTCGCTTACACCAGAAACGGATGCCTCACAGTCTTCTGCTATGCTGGTGGAAATGAGAGCACACTCATCTTTTTCTTCCTTACTGGTTGAGGCAAGAGGACTTTCAACTTCCGTGGGAGCACTGGGCATGGGCACCTCAAAGTCCTCGGTGCTCACCAACACTGGACCTTTAGCTCTGTCTTCAACCCTTGCAACGGGCAGCTGACCTTCAGCACACGTGATAGTTACTGCGCTGGAAATAGGCACTTCAAATTCCTCCCCTATGCTTGTGGAAATCATGGCACACTCGTCTTTCTCTTCACAGCTGCTAGCAGAAAGTTGGCTTGCATCACCTGAAACTGCACTAGGTGTGGGGGCCTCAAATTCTTCCATGTTTATCCTGGGGCTTTCCGTGTTTTCTTCACTTCTCAGGGTACTGGAATGGCCTTCTCCTGCAGCTACAGTCATACTCACCTGGTGGGTGCAATCGTTTGATGTACTGGTGGAAATCATCAAGGCTTTGCCTTGACTTTTACCCCCAGCTAAGCTATCTTGTTTGGAAATATCATTAGTGACTGTAGTAGTCATGAGGCCATCACACTCGTGTTCAACAGATGTGATGATGTCTTCATCTTTTTCACTTGGTGATGTGTGGTCAACTTCACATTCCAGGACAGCACCAGACACGAGAATGTCGTAACTGCCTCCCACCAGGCCGGTGGAAATAGAGGTATCTTCAGCCTTTTCTTTCCTACTGAGCTGACAACCACTTTGATCAGAAGCCGCACTCGTCATGGGATCTTCACAACCTTCTGGAACTGTTGCTACTTCGCTCTTTCCTGGGGCTGCGCTGGTCACACTGCTTTCTACGATCCCTTTGGCACTGGAGCAGATCTCCATCTCTTTGATTTCCTTCTCTGCAGCACTCACACTGTCAATGTTACTTTCATTTGCACTCATGAGGGCTACCCCAGCCTCAGTGTCCACACGGTCTGCCGTCAGACCCACCTGACTGTCCCCTTCGGCACTTTCGCAAAGCACTGCCCCTTCATTTTCTTCATTTATCATACCTGAGCAAGTAGAAGTATGTCCAATCTCATTCCCTCTCCCCGTGCTAGTCACAACACCCTCCCCCTCGTCATCTTCCTCCTTTGCGCCCGTGCTGGTCACAATGCCTTCATCATCACAGGGGCCAGCGGCCACTATGGGGACGTTAGTGACTTCTTTGGCTACTGTGCTATCCATTGCGCTCTCTCCACTTTCTTCGGTTTCGGAGCTTATAGCACAGCCTTCGCCGCTGTCTTCTGAGCCTGTGCAACTTGCTGGCCCCTCCCCGTCCTCCTCCGTGATGCCTGTGCTGGTGACCGCACTCTCGCCCTCTGCACCGTCAGTCACAGATCCATCACCTTCCTGGTCAGCACTGGTACCAGGGGGTGCGTCGCCATCTACCAGGCCCACCTCTGCCTCTGTAGGTATGTGCTCCTCCCTGGGCCCTGCTCCAGGTGCTGAGCGGTTAGCGAAGTTAGTGGTTCTGCCCTCTGCTCCTGTGCACGTCACAGTGCCTTCGGTTTCTTTTTTGGGACCCATTCTTGTCCTGTCTCCCTGGGTCCCATCAACCTCTTCACTGCTTGTGGACCCTGTTCTTATTTCAGTACCAGCACTTGTCACTGCTCCATCGCTTTCAACTTCACTGATAAAAGTGACAGTCCCTTCAACTATTTCTGAGTCCCTGTTTGAAGAACCACCACACTTTTCTTCGGAGCCTGCACTGGTTACTGCATCATCTTTTTCTTCAGACATAGCACTGTTCCTGCTAGCTTCGATTTCACCCATTTGGGCAGCTGTGGGGCCCGTGGCTCCATCTTCTGATTCGGCCACTGCACACTCTCCATTTTCACCTTCCTTGGTGCTTGTGAGGAAAGTTTCACTCTCGGCGAATCCCTCAGTGACAATACCCCCGCCCTCTTCAGCTGCAGCAAAAATGGTACATTCACTGGCTTCCGCCCCAAACTGGCGGGGAGTGTTTCCAGTGCGTGAGCCTGCTGTGAAGCCTTCGTCTGCCTCAATGCTGGTGCATGGCAAAGCCACTCTGTTTTCTCCAGTTTCTGAAGAAGTAGTGCTGGCATCTCCACCCTTTATGGGGTTTAAGGTGATGCCCTGGTCCTTCCCTTCAGTACTAGTGGGAAGAGAAGAAGCCTTTTCTACTCTGTCAAACCCAGCGGCTACATTGCTCTGCTGCAAAACGGAGGGTGCAGCATCACCCTCACCACTGGTGTCTACCTCAGTACTTCGGTTTCTTCTTTCAACACTGACTGGTATGTTTATTTCACCTGGGCTATGACTATGCCTAGGTTCAACAGTGTCAGCATTTCTGTCTGTGGCTCTAACTGTCTGCTTCACAATGGGTTCTCTATTCAAGTCATTTTCTTCCCTGGTTGGATTCACCAAGCTGTCTTTGCTAATGCTGTTTTTCACAATCAGGTCTGATGACTTGCTAGCAAGCAATGCATTTACTTTCCCATCTTCACTGTCCAGTGGAGTGGCCTGGTGGCCTTCTGAAATGTGACTTCCACCAGCCATGCTTGCTTCTGCTGAGGCACCAACTGTGGAACCTTCACTATGTTCTCTGTTATCACTTATCCTGGGGATTTCTGATTTTGTAACAGTTAAGCTTTGGTTAGGGAGATCAGAGTGGTCCACCAGGGAGGTGCTACCTATGCCCCCTTCTGCAACGGTTCTTCTGTCAACCACAGGAATTATATCTGAAGCATGATGTTTGTTCTGAGGCACAAAGTTCACAGAACTTAACGTCAGTGAGGGGTTTATATCTGTGGAATGTTCAAGAATAACACCTCCGGCAGTGAGTTGCTCTTCAGTGGGCCTGGCTGTGCTTTTCATGTCCTTCTGCAGCCTATCACTTTCTGCAGGGATATCAGGCAACATTCTGTGACTTATTTCGGAGTCTACACTCATTTCACGAGTTCCCTGTTGAACGAGCTCTTTCTCCTTGGGATTTGGTTTGGATACAGCACTTTGGACATGTACTTTCTTAGCCAACGTGCTTTTATGGTCAGTATGCTTTTCTGAGTTGCTAGAAACTCCTGTTCCACGCCCCAATTTACAGGCTGCAGCTGTTCTTGAATCTGCAGTGGAAATTCTTAATTCATCCTTCACAACTGTGATAGGAGTTTTTTGTTTTGTAACGTTTTCAGAGTCAGTGTCTTGTTGAGAGTTATTATTGCTGTTGTCTTGAGTTTTAGATACTTCAAATACATTTCCAATACCTGCTTCAGAATCCACTTCCATTGGCTCTTGTTCAGGGATTGATGTATCACCACTTCTTTTTGGTCGCTGGAGGGAGGAACTATTTGGAGTACTTGAAGTATTTTTTTCTTCTCCTTTGGTCACTTCTTGTGATAAGCTTCCTCTTCGATTTTCACACAATCTTCTACTTAATTTCTTTTCTACGGCTGAACCATTCCCTCTTGATTTTTCATGACTGCTGTCATCTTTGTCATCTGCTTTGTTTTCTTCCTTCTTTTTCATGTCTTTATTACTGTGCTTTATGCTTCTGCTTTTGTGCCCATCTGAAAACTTTTTCTCCAGTCTGGAGGAGCTTGAATTCTTCTCACCTTTGCATTTCTCCTTACCTGGGGGTAACTTAGCTCTGTGACTAGAGTCTTTCTGTACATTATGTGAAGTAGTAGCACTCTCTAATACAGGTTCACCACCTGTTTCTTCTATAGGTTTGTCTTCAACTTTAGGCTTGCGCTGTTTCTCTGGGTCATTTTCTTCTACAGTCTTTTCCTTCTCTGGTTTTGGAGTGGCTGCCTGTTTTGTGACACTTTCTTGTAATTCTGTTTCAGCACCTTTTAGTTGTTTGCCTTGACCTTTCGATTTAGACTTCACTGTAAGTTTATCTTCCAACAAACTCTTTGTTCTTCTCCTCTCTTTGTGAACAAGCTCCTCTGGTTTTAAGCTGCTATCTAAATTAGTTGAATCTGTATCACATTTATCTTCTGAATAACTTTCACCTCTTCTCTGTAAAGTGACAGCATGTTGCCTGGAACTTAGGGCATCTTTCTGAATTTTGGAATCACTCGATCTTCTTGATTTGTGCTCTGATTTGGTTTTTTCAGTTGACAAATGTCTCTCTTTTTTGTTGTTCTCCTTACGTACATTCTCATCTGTTTTTATAATATATTCAGAAACTGGTTTTCCATCTTTCCCTAAAACTGACAATTTCCTTTCATTCCTATGTTTACTTTTTCGTTCAGCTTTATCATCTGAAGAAGACTTTGTTTGTTGACCTTGCTTTTGAGTATTTTCCTCTGCTTTTAAACCTTTTTCAGAAGAGTGTATTTCAGTCTCATCACCTGTTTTGTGTGTGCTGTCACCCTTATATTTATGCTTCAGAGACAATTTCTCTTCTGACAGAGTTTTTTCTTTTTCAGGCTTCTCCTTGGAGGATTTCACCTCCTTCTTAGGGAAGCTTTTCAAATGTGACGTTTCAGAATCATCTTTCTTTAGATGCTTTTCATTTTTAAATGTGTTTTTCTGTTTCTGAGTTTCTTCAGTGCCAATTTCTGGGTGTTCTATTTGCCTTTTTCCATCTCTTGTATCAATTTCTTCCTGTGCCACTTCCATTACAACAGGGGTGGATGTTCGTCTTTTATGTTCTCTCTCTACTTTGGAATCACTTTTGTTTTCATCAGCAGAATGTAATGATTCTGACAGTCTCCGGGCAGGCTTAGTTGGTTCACTTTTTGCATGAGCATGCTTTAGTTCCTTTGAAGAAGATGCCTTTTCCTTCTCATAGTGCTACAAGAAAATAAAGGTTAAAATATGAGAAATGCCCAAATTGATTTTTAGATTCAAATTTATTATCAGGTACCTTTAAAATGTTAATTGCTGGCAAATATATGACACCTAACTTAATCCGTGGCAGAAACTGTGCTAGGTTTTATTAATCTCTCCATACACACTGAAAAGCTGAAATTCAGTGTGACTCCAAAACCTGACACTAATGTAATAAGGAACTGTTCTAGAAACAAGTCTAGAAGGTTTTGTTGTGAGTCTACCACTCTTCCCAGTACACATTTTAGGCAGCTTTATAGGATCTAACCTAGTTTTTCCTCTGAGGTTCAGCATGCATATGAAAAGTCTTCAACTCTACAATGCTAGAGCCTCCCATGCCTGATAGTCATAATAACATAAGCAGAATGAACGACAGTCCAATGTCCTTTTCAAGTTAAACCCATACATGTGGATGAAAGTAATTTAAATGAAGTAAGTTTCCTAACATTTGTATTTAGAAACACAAATGATTGAGAAACCCAGATAATTCAGAGTACTTGTACAATATCTTATCTATGAAGTTTCTTTTCTTTTTGGTAGTGGAAATCAAATTCACAACCTCACACCTACCAGGTAGATGCTGTGATGCTGAGCCCAACCCATCTATGAAGTTTCAAAGTATACAATAACTCACAGTAACAATATCATATATATTACTATATTTATGAATTCAGGGGATGGTGCTGAGAACACAGCATCTGAATCTTCCTCTTACCCCCAGTCTGCCACTGGATATATTAATATTAATAATGGTAATAGATTTAATATCTATTATCCACCTCATAAAATCTTGGTGACCACTTGCTATAATTATTCGTATTTCAATAATGCACCAAAGACCTCTATATCTTTGAGTCAGCTTAATGATGCAACTTCTTAAAATTCCAGCATGAAGAATATGTACTTCTATTAGTATAGAAACTCAAACACAGCCACACCTCAATACTTCAAATTGCTCAAAGAAAAAAGCAACAGAATTTTATATCAAACTAACTTTTACAACAAAGAAATCCCAGTCAATGTGAGCCTAATTTAATGAGATAATTATTGACAAAAATTTATCAAGAAGTTTTTAAAACTATGCTAACAAGACATCAGGATGTACTTCTAAATATAAATCTAATTTCTAATTATAGAAATCAAAAATATTTACTGGCTAAGAACAAATAATCATTAAATTACTAGTCCTCTCCTCAAAATGTTAAGATGTTTTAGCTAGAGAATTATAAATATGGCTACGTAAACAAGAATTTTAAATCATTGAAAGCCAATGTTTACTTTGGAAAACACTCCAAAAAAGGGAAAGAAACATGTTTTCTGCATGTATCTTCACAGTTGAAAATGATCTGGCAGACAGTGGCAGTGTATCTCTACAACCCCAGCACTTGGATGGCTGATGCAGGAGGACTGCTGAGTTTCTGCTGAGGCAGCCGGGGTATGCAGTGAGCTCAAGGCGAGCCTGAACTACAATGAGAGCCCATCTCCAAAAATAAATACAATGATCAAATCTTACATACAACCTCAGTGTCTGCACCAAAACAGAGAGCTTAAATAATAATATATCCAGTCAACATAACACTACAGTCAAAAACAGAAAATTTAAAAGAAACACGAAATGACTGGAATGTGAAAGACATTTAGTCAGATTATTTTCACTGTAAAAAATTAGATCCACATGTGAACAAGGAATGAAAGAACAAAATGGATACTCTGGTTAAGTAGAGATATTTTAGATATTTTTCCCTTTCTCTTCCTTCTAATGATTATTACCAGCAACTTTGTTACTGTCTGTGAGAAACAGGGTGAGGGTGGAGGGAAAAGAACAACTATTTATGCAAACATAACAAAATAAAACATTAGAAAAAATATAAATCAACTCACCAAAATGGAGAATTCAGGTCATACTAGATGAGTGGTTCAAGAATGTTAAACAGGAAGAATTTTTTATTTTACATGGCAAAGATGAAATTACATTCAGTTTTACTAAAAGGACTAAAAAGTCCCTATCTAACAAAAGAGCATGTGTAACAGGGTTTTTATTAAGGCATACCTCACTTGTTTTGAGATTTTCTTTAGACTCTTCTTCAAACTGCTGTTTCTTTTTGGAATTCTCTTCAATAATCCTAAGGATGATGAAATGTCTATTATGAACACTGACTCAAATGTAAGAATTTTCAGTAAGGCAGGAAAAAAACACTCCTTTACTATAAGCACTAAATCCATAAATGGAGGCTTGTTACATATCAATTTAAAGCCTCTTCTTAGTTGACATGGAGATCATAACGCCAAAGGTGGTATGCACTGCACTAGGTTTAGAAGCAAAGTGCTACTGAAACAAAAATTGACTCACTGCATGAAGATGAATAGTGCAGAAACTATGTTTATAGTTTGTCTTACCATCTTTCAGAGCCAAGAGAGCAGCCTTTTTTACTCAGATGAACAGAAATGAGGCAGAGTAATAAATCTGAGAGCCAACTCTTCTCAACGAATTCTACAAATTATTAATTCATGTGTCTTGAAGCCCATTATTAATTTACATAATTGGAAATTGAGGGGATAGTGAAATTGTAGCCCATGGCTCACACATTCACAGCCACATTCTCAGTCTCTTTGGTTTTCTTATTCTTATAGAATTAGCAATGATTATGTAGTGTTAAAAAAAAATAATCTAGAGGGAGAAATATGGGATACTGGCAATTAGAACTGTGTGAAGACCTGGGGAATGGATGCAATTATTCTAAGTGGCTACCAAATCCACAGAATAGGAATAATTCTAGAGGGTCCATAAGCTCTCTGAAACTCTTAGTGTTAATTGTGTGCTGACACATGTACTTTTTTTGGAAAGAAGGTCTAAAACTTTTCATGAGATAATCAAAAAATAACTGACATATTACTTCAAAGGCTGGGGATTTAGCTCAATGGTACAGCATGTGCCCAGCATCCTTGGATTGGATATGCTGCACACTACTATATATAAACATGCACGTTACTTTGAAATGTTATTAAGACAATGAACGATGACAATAAAAATGAAACCTAAACTCCTTCATAAACATGCATTAACATACACATTGAAAGTTTGATTCTCTACCACCACGAAGGCTTTTTTCTTCTGAAACCATCATGCATTCAAGTGAGTATTACAATTAGACAAGGCCAGATAAAACAAGTACCTTGAATCTTTCCTTCTTTTTTTGCTTAAAGCTACCTTTTTCTCTAAAACTTTCCGTTCTTTAAGAACCTCTTTAATTCTAGGAGCTTTTGGTTCCAAACTCTTTGTTGCTGATTCTTCTAAGTCCGTATTATTTTTGCCTGGGAAATAAGCAAGTCAATAAACTGTATTTCAGACCAGTGTTATAAGCAATGTTATATTTATTTTTCATTCAGATTTTACTGTAAAAATGAAAAATGGCTTTGAAACCTTTAGGTTGAACTGAAATAAACATACTAGAACTCAACTTTGTTTTAGTCAATATTCCACATAAACATTAACATAAGGGCTGGGGGTACAGCACAGTGGTAGAACATATGCTTAGCATGTGTGAAACCCGAGTTCATTCCCTAGCCTTGAAAGCATCAATTTAACCCGAATTCTTAGCTGATGCAAAATACAACAACAAAAAAATCCAACATTAACATTAAAACATGGTTGAATTCCATTATTATCAGCTAACAACCATATTGCAGTGATAATAATTCTATTTTCCAGTGGAAAATAAACTTAACACGGCAGGCATGAGCTGATACTCAATGTTCAATTTACATGTTGAAGTATAATAAAAAGAAAACTGACTAAAGACATCAGATTAAAAAAGTAAGGAAATTGTCCACAATTGAGAATAGAATATTTTATATTCTGCGATAAGACAAGAATAACTAGAAAATAATGGCATTCATGAGATAGTTTAAGTAGCGTTAATATCTACTATACCTTGACTTTTTGCTTTGGAAGACTTGGTCTTTTCTGCTTTCTGTTTTCGTTTTTCTTCAAGTTTTTCCCTATTAATTTGCCTTCTTAAAAGTCTTTCTTCTTTTTCTTTTGCCTAAAATCACAAAATACTCTAACTGATTGTCAGGTAAAAATAAAGACACTGAAAGAAAATATTTACGAAAAATGTCTTTGTCCTTTAAATGTTCTTTTGAATAAATGGACTCAGCAAAAGTATATATATTCTCTCCTCTCTTCTCTAAATACACACAGATGTAGGCATTTATGTGTGTGTATGTGTTTATATGTATGTATGTGTTTCAGTTTGGGAGCTACAAGAATAAAAGAGAAGTGAAACTTTTTCCTTATTCTTAGAATGCCATAATGAGAAAGGTATACTTTTGATAAAAGGTGGTTTAAAGAACGGGTTGTTTCAGTTATAAAGATAAGTCATAAAAGTGGCACATGCCTATAATCACAGTACTCGAAACACTAAGGCAGGAGGATCACCCTGAGTTTGAGGCTAGTCTGGACTACATAGTGAATGCAAGGCCAGCCTCAACTACATAGCAAGACCTTGTCTCAAAAGAGAGAAAAGGGGAGAAAACAAAAAGTATCACTGAGCATCAAGTACGTGCAGGTAAGAAAAAGCCAGTATGCAGAGTCAAGTGATGACAAGTTTGAATTGATTATTATACTTGGGACCCAGGTTTTGGACTTGGAACCTTCATGCTTTAAACCATGAAGACTTTATATGTGTTACTCCCACTACCCATCTGTGGTCCACAGCTGGAAATCAAAGTGCCAAAAATCCTAAGATGACACACAACTTTTACAAGACCCAAGCCTGCAAGGATGACTATCCCCTACTAGCATAGTGGTGTAGAAAATTTTGTGTTTTAATGTTTCTCAGGTTGAAAGCCAACTTAAAATTGATGTACACATACAATTACACAGAAATTTTCTTTGAAGAGATAATATAAATTCAAAGGTACACTTATAACATATGTGGACTGCATTGCATGCTGTCTTGACTTTATAACTGCACTTTATAATAACACTTGCCATGTTACATTTTAGTGACTTGATCCATGCTGAAACAAATGTTTTCATACCATGAAACATGAGATCACTGGCAGCTTTTTACTTATATCTGTAACATGAGACAAACACCTCTGTCCCCTGTGTATGCCCACTTCACAGAGATAAATGACAAATTCCTAAGGCAGAGCTCCTATGTCTCTGCTTCTTACAAACACCTACTCAAGTCTGTCAACCTGATGCAAGAAGCTAACATTACGGTAGCAGACCAAATTCCACTTACAATAGACTGTCGCCGCTGCTCTACTGTAAGCTCGTCGTCAGAATCACTGTAATACTTGGAATAAAGGTAGGGCTTGTGAACATAAGCGTGCCGGACACTTTTTGTTTTTCCTTCAGTGGAATCAGCAGTTTGAGTTTTTGTTTTACTCTGTTTGCTCTTCTCTTCATCTGAAAGTCAACAGAAAGGACGGCACTTCCATGAATTAGCAGACATTACACTTACTTGCGTTATTAAAAGAAAAACTTGAGACAGATTAGAGTTCAGTTTATTTGGGCAAAAACTTATCCACAAATTGGGTATCCACACTGAGAACAAGATGGAGTTCAGAGAATTCTGCATCAGCGGTGTGAACACCAAAGCTTTACGGGCTGAATGTGGAAGCAAAGTCATCACAGGGACAGAGCGAGACCTTTGCCTTGTTTGATATGATGAGACAAGAACTTTCTGGTTAGTTTCTTACAGCCCAAGATTACAGTTCAGTTCACCATTTACATCATTTTCAAGCTGCTCATGCAGGAACCTAGGGACCCACGGAGCAGGCACTGTCTCAGAGCAATGTTTTCCTCTATCCCTAATTTCTTAAAACGATGTTCTTTTGACAGATAGTTTTTACTTCTCAAGTGGACTTTACACTCATGCTTTATAACTGTTCAGTTAAACAAACTCATTTGAAGTTGTAAATGAGGTTTAATGACTACCTGTGCATCCAGAAAAGAGGACTCTAACGGTTCCTACACCAAGCATACATCAAAATCCTCTACGTCAGGAAGAGGAGTGGTTTTCATTTGATATAGCAAGAAGTGAAGAGAAAGAGAAAACAGGTTTTCATTTCCTACCATTTAGTGGGTTAAAACAGCCATCTTACTTATGTCCTGGAAACATAAATTTCTGCCCTAAGGAAATCCTTCAATAGCACCCTGAGCATTGAGTACTGGAATTGTAGTCAGAGGAAGTGGTGTGTTCATAGGATGAGGAGCCTGCCCAGCTGGGTACTACTGAGCTACTTGAGGACAGACAACTGGGGAATGCAGCTGCTGTTTTCCTTAGATAGTTAATTCAGGCTCTCACAGATACAAAGACAGCAATGAAAGAAGGGTGACACTGAGAAAAATATCTGTGGTGTTAGACAGTTCTACTTTTGGGCCAGGGATTTAGCTCAGTGGCACAAGCGGCTGCCTGGCAAGTACAAGGTTGCGAGTTCCATCCCTGGTGCCCCAAAAAAGTTCTACTTTTTTCCTTTTTTCTCCAAATATCCTGTCCAAAGACAGCAGTAAACTACAAGATGGCATCTAGAAGTACTACAAATAAAACTCAGTATTTTTGATTGTTAAAAAGAAAGGCATGAGACTTCAATCATGGAATGAAAAGTATATAATGTATTAGCAGCAGACAGCCACATCTGATCTGTTCTGGTGCTTACTGGCTAAGTGACTTTGGAAGGACACTTTCCATGGGCTGTTGTGAGGATTATGGAAGGTATCACATAGAAGGTCAAAGCCCAGGCCCTGGAGCACAGGTAGTTCGAAAAAAAATTATGTAATAAAGAATCCAGCCTTACCTCGAGGGGTGTGGCCTGTTTCTGAGGGGTCACTGCTAAGTATAACAAACCGAACAACCTAAGATATGACAGAGGGAGGGGCTTTGCACCTTAGAGTTTCAGTCTGACCTCCCGAGGGGGCAGAGGCTGATACGAGCCAAGTGGGCTGTCAACTACCAGTATCTGCTGGAGCACGGATAAAAACTTTGGACACTAAGACTCTGATGAACTTCCCTGGCTGACAACACTTGTGTGTACAAGCAGACATGGATGCCAAGGAACAGCTCTATGGCGGAGGACCATTAGACGCTTGCTGTTTGCAGCTCTCTCTGTCCTACATACCTTTTCATCTAGCTGATCTTAGACTGAGTTATTTAAATGTAATAACCCATAACTGTCATAAAGCAGCTTTTACTGAATTCTCTAAGTATTCCCAGAGAATTATTCAATCGAAGGGCGGTCTTGGGGACCCCTGAACTTGCAACTGGTGCCAGAGGGTTTATCCTGTGGGTTATGCTTCCCTCAACTGTTACATATACATAAACAAAAGGCTCACTTATATACAGTATCTCACCAAATATCATAGTAATCATCTCGGGGACTGAGTTAACAGATGCAGAACCACTCGCTGTTGAGGCTTACTAATATACCAAACTTGGTAAAACAGACAACCTTGCAGACAATACTCAGAAACAATCTTTCAACTGCAAATTTCCATGCTCTTCACATGAAACCACACTGTCCCACAGAATACAGTCACTTGAAAACACAAACAATGCTCAGTGGAAATTTCAGACAGACACTGCTAAGTTAAAAGCTTTACCATCTGATGTAATCTCTCCTTCTTCCATGCTATCAGACATGATAACTTCCTCCTCAGAGTCTTCTTCAAAAGACGAAAGATCACTGGTATGAACAGAGCTAACTGTGATGTCTGTAAGTCCATCCACATCAGAATCTACCAAAGAACAATCTTCCAGAAGAAAATAAAGCAGAGGATAAATCACCTCATTATAGGAACATACTCAAAGCACAATTCCTAAATTAAAATCTGCTAAGTACATGACAAATAATCAAATAAATGCAAAGGCAAACTAGCGTCCTGTAACAATAAACCATTAATGTGTAATATATGTAATATACACAAAAGTAGAAAGTAATTAACTGAAATATCTACTTAACATTTTAAGGCTTGGATATACAACTATGTTAAAGTTGCATGGGATAATGTACGTGAATAAATTTCAAGACAAATGGTAAATTTTATACTTTGTTAATTTTCTGTGAGTAGATATATTAGCATAGTACAGAATATATATTTACTGCTTTCTTTTAGCACAGGGAACAAAAGTTATTTGAAAAAAAATAACAAATTCATTAAACTTCGAATCTCAACTGTTCGGAGTAGAAACCTTTGCTTTAAACTTGTAGAGGCGTTTTGAGCTTTAACATACCTTCTTTGGTCCCTTCAACGGTTTTAGTTCTATTACTGTTCTTTTCTAAGGGAAGTTTTGTACCTTCTACTTCTTTTTCCTTTGCTTGTTTTTCATCTTTTACTTTCAGTGTATCTTCACTCCTTTTTGAGTAATCAAATTTCTTTTCAGTTTTTTCCTTCTTTTCTTTTTTTCTTTCTCCTTTATCATTGCTGTCTGGTTTCTTTTCACCTTTGTCTGTTGATTTATTTTTCTGGTCACTGCTTTCCTGCTGAACTTCCTTATTTAGCAGAGTCATGCTGTTATTCTCCTTCATGTAGTTTTTTACTTCTTCAGCAGGACCCTGGAGCTCCCCAAGTTCTTCAGACTTGAGGGCTATCTCCAGCCCTTCCCCTCCACAGTCAGGTGCAGTTTTTTCTCTGTCCACTGGGTCCTCTGAAGATTTTTCTTTGTCAGTACTAATGTCAGGGTTTGGTTGAGAGGAGAGCTTTTTGGCCACTCTCTCACTGGTCTTGGGGTTTGACATTTCTGTTGAGGCCCGGGCGGCATTAGCTTCTTGGTTAAGAGAAGTGATAGTTTCCAAGATTGACATGGCATCATTGGCTACATTAGCACTGGGCCCAGGAGCAGGGACACCTTGGAGAAAGACAAGTTTTTTAGAGTAAATTCATGCAGAAGATAGATATATCTGATCAACACTCCATGCCGCTGTCACCTCCATACGACGTTTTTCCTTGGGCCTGGGGCTCCAGGCGCCACTGTTAGTGCTATTCACAATTCTCCTTACTAGGTCTCAGGAAGGATACTAGAAAACCCATGAATAGTCTAATTTCCAGAAAAATCTGCTCTAGGTATTTCAGTTGTTACCTTAATTATAACACGCACATGCCTCTACCATTACTTAAATGGTTTTTTATTGTATATTAATCTCAAAAAAAGAAATGCTGCACCAGCTGAGAAACTTGGCTGATATTTAACGTAAATATAATTTCACTGGAGCAGCCAAACAGAGAAACACTGTAAAGAACCAAATATCCCAACCTGACACTCAGCTCAAGAAGAAAAGTGATGGAACTGACCAAGAGCAAACACAAAGCACCTTGTATAATGACAGAAGAGTCTGGTTTCTCATCGGCAGGAACTGCGCTGCTGCCAGCTTCCTCTTTGTGATTAAGTGTGGCCAAAAATTCATGCACAGCTTTCTCCACCTGAGGTCTGAATGTGTGGTTGATCTTTGGATCCACAACCTGAGAAATAATGCGGTCGATACCAGATTCCAGCATTCCTGATCTGAAATTGAAGATAATTCACAGAAAGGTGATGAAGTATTTTTATATTATTTGCACTAATTACTCTTCAATAAACTGTATCTGCTATACAGCAGTATACATGGTTCAACCCTGAAATGCCCTAATTTACTCATCTAGATAAACCAAAAAATTTGCTAACAAAAAAAAAAAAAAAAAAAAAAAAAAAAAAAAAAAAGAAAAGAAAAAATTAGGCAGTAGAAAGCTTCATGGCTTTGGAGACATTAAAAGCCCATCATTGTGCCACTGGCAGAAAAATTAAAAACAAGATAAAACACCTTTATACTCAGCCCATCACCTTTACAGGTAAAGGTGCCGTTTCTGGCACCTTCTACTCCCTTTCTGACCATGGTATACAGGAATAGACAACTGTTAAAGTTTTGAATCTAAAATAATTAACAGATTCTGGAAAAAAAACCAAATTCATAAAGAAAGTTGACACAATTTTATTAAATTAAAAAAGGAAACTTTAGGAAAACAAAAATAAAACCTACAGATTTTTGCCTTTATTTTTAGTATCTTCATACTATAAAACCCCATGATTTATTTATTTGGCAACTGTGTTAGAAGTGCCTTCTACGAAGAGCTGCCAGGCTGGCCACTCTGCAGCTAGGAATGACAGCAGTCTCCCCTCTGGGTGCGGAGGCACATACAAGATGAGCTGGTGTTGTGGGATACACTTGTAATTGTAGCACTTGGGAAACTGAGGCAGGAGGATTTCAAGTTTGAGGCCAGCATGGGCTATGTAGCAAGTTCATGGCTGGCCTGAACTACACTGTGAGAGTATGTCTCAGAAAACCAAACAACATCAAGAAGAAAAAAGATGATAGATACACCATGTACTGTAAGAAACGGGACAAGAATGTGTCCAAGGTAATTGGTGACTAATGCCAGACAAAGAAACTTTTCAGATATTTTAGCTGAGTCTTGATTTCTATATTGGGGAAGAAAAGCTCTCCAGAAAAAGAAATGTACACAACAGACAGAAGTGATGGGTGAAAGATCTAAAACGTGCTTCTGCACAGAAGCATCTGAGCTAAACATGCCGGAGGAATGACAGTGCAGGAGGGAAAGGAGCTGGTCATCTCCAGACTCCAAGCCTCAGTGGGCTCTACAGGATGGGTGAGATGTCTCTTCTTACACCTTACAAGAGCTATTGCTGAGAGTAGCTCTATTTGGGGTGGAGTCAGATTCCATTTTAATTTCCGGAGGCAACTGCTGCCTTGTGATATAATTCTACTTATGTGGGCCATAGAGAAAAATGAGCCGATATGATACAAAGTAAGTTACCTGCTTTTTAAAGTTCTGAATAAAAAAAAAAAAAGCACAAAACAAGGCAAATCCTAGGACGATCACTACTTCTTTTTAAAATAGTAAAAGAAATAGAAGCAATCCTGAACATGCTGCTAAGGCACAAGTGCAAAAGTATAAAATACAAGTAAACAATGTACAGAAAATAAAACTTACCAGTCTCAAACTATTGCTTCAGTTTCTTTATCTGCCTATATTCTAGCTTCCTGTGCTACAAACTAACAAATTCTTCTACTTCAGTCCCCTCTTCCAAGACATGTCAGCTCTGATCTCCTGCAGCAGAAGCCCAGTGCTGCTCCCCAGGGTGGAGAGAAGCCTCAGGCCTAAGCTGCAGGGCAAGGTCAAAAGATAGGGAACCGGGTATTTTCCCTGTTAAAATTACTTTCCTGTCAAATTCTGCTTGGTTAACATCAACCTACAAAGCCATCTAGGATTTTCAGACTCCATAGCACAAAATGAAAGGCTTAGTAAAATGAGAATTTTAGGGGCTGGGGATTTAGCTCAGCGGCAGAAGCGCCTGCCTTGCAAGCAGGCAGTCCTGAGTTTGATCCCTGGTACTGATAAAAACGAAAAAGACAAAAAAAAAAAAAAAAAAAAAAAAAAAAAAAAAAAAAAAAAAAAAAAAAAAAAAAAGAAAGAGAATTTTTTTCCTACTGACTCAAGAGATCAAGAGATCAGTGATTAAATTTAACTATCAGAAATTGCTGATGCTAGACCATTTTGTACTACAAGAAGCGAAGCTGTGGATGGGTCAGCTTCAGTCAACTTTTTCAAAGTACATGTATGAAAAACTATTGGAAATTATATTGATTTCTAAGACTAGTCCATCCCTTTGCTCACAACTAAATAATCCCTCCAAGGAAATTTTAAAATGTTATCTGTAACGTAAAACTTTACTAATGAAATTTAAATGAAAACAGATTATTTTAAAATAAAAGAGTTGGGAGAAAATGTGTGCTGTCCTAGAAAGGAGCAATGCCTAAATTACAGGAGAAGACAGCTTGCTGTCCTCTCCCACAATGCCTGTAAACAAGGGACAGTTGGTCACACATGGGTGGGGTACCTCAGAAATCCATCACTACCACAGTCACAGAACTGCTTTGCCCTCTCCAAACATGATTTTGTGGTAACAATGCTTCATACTGGTACCTGCAAGTGTTTTTGGTAGTTGATTTCACAAGTGCAAGATCTGAGTTTAGTTTCTTTAAATAAAAGAATGACCCTTTCCTTATCTTACAGGTGTTCTATGCTGAGAACTACAGGAAATTCCATGAAGTTTGCCTTCCATTTGAGATTTTTCAAGATATGAAGAAGAACAATGCAATATTCTACAAAACATGTTTATACAGATGTCATGCAATCACTTGTGAAGAGCCAGGCAGCCCGCACAGAGCACGATGAAAGCACCACAGGGTCAGGGGAAAGAGTGCAAATGCAGGGACCACAGGGTCAGTTGGCCTGCTTGGGGCCCAGCCCTGAACTGTTGCTGGCACTGCTCTCCTGTAGGCCTGCAGAGTGAGGAGCCCTCCATGGCCGGTACCCAGGGAATTTCTTGTCTCTTTTTTTTCTGGACTTTTTCTCCAACAGGAATGATGAGGCAACCCTCGAATAACATCTTTAGATCTCACCTGGACTCTTTTACAGGGTCTTCAAACATCCATTAAAATTTAGACAACCAAGCTACTGTTAATTTCCCCCTCTCTTATTCACAAGGAGACACAATCTAAGCCTGCAGGTTCCAGCTTTCTAGTGTTACCAGGGGCTAAACTGGGCTTTTAGTAAAGATGTAAATTTTTAGTTCTGGGCTTTGTGGGGCTGGAGAACTATCACACTAAGGTAGACTCCTGCAGCACAAGAGAAAATAACAGATAGGAGGTAACAAATAGATTGCTTAACTGTTTAAAAGGCATATTTTATTCTTGAAAATGTGCCTGAAGGTAATACAGGAGGATCAGTAGCTCTTTAACTTACCCCTTTTGCATAGAAAAAAGGCAGGGATTACAGGTCTTCTTGTCTTGGCAAATGGTTGTATCAAAAACAGTGGAAGACTAAAATCAGGTTCTGTTTATTTATTTATTTTTCATTTTGTGAGTAAATATTACCTTCTCCCAGGTTTTTTCTAGCACTCTAGTTCTTATTTTCTTTATGAGCCCACAAACTGTCTAATAATAATAAAACCAGCTCTAAAGGTCAGGAAAATAGTTCTAAATACATGTATAGGATATTATGCATTAATAATCTCTTAATATTATATCTTGATTAAAAAAAAAAAAAACTCCTCTATTTTTTCCCTTCGAATAATTTTCTAAGTACATGGCAAGCCTTTGGGCTATTTTTAAAGTTTCCAAGAGAAATGTGAAGTGATTCCCAAGTGTGGTGGTGTATACTTGTAATCCCAGCACGTGGGACGTCAACTCAGAAGAATCATTGAGTCCAGGGCCAGCCTGAGCTACATAGTGAGACCTCAAAAAAATAAAGTGAATAAAACTTTTTAGACTATACGCTAAAATTATACATCCCATGCTGTGGCCACACCATACCTACAAAAAGCCAGGGTCACTAGGTGAATAAACTCCAAGGTTCTACTTTCAGATAAAGCAGGCTATGATACTTTAAAGCCTGTTCCAGAACAGAAACTCTGAGACTTACTTCAGGACTTGCTGCCTAATGTTGTTTCTTAATTGGTTCTTGTTGAGATGTGGGCTCCAAGTATGTGTTGCCAAGTGGTTTGCAACAAAGTTGTCCACCCGCTGCCTCAGATTCTGATAGGCAGGCTGGAAAGAAAACACAAACATACACATTAACATTGCTCCATGTTACACAGTATCAGTATGAGGAATTTGAGTATCTTTATTCCCTATCAATATGGCAACCAAATCCCACAGCACATGACAATTTTATTAATTTACATTCATTTAAATCCTATTACCTCTAAGCCAAAGTGTTCCCAGGAAGGAACACAAAGAAGAAAAAAATATGTCTTTGTAGACAAACAATTAGATTACTAAACACAACTAAATTCTAACTTATGATAGATGTCGAAAAAGAAAGTACAAGAAACAGAAGCAAGTCATTTGTGAGAGTGTGGCCTAGTGAGCTATAAAATCAGTTTAGAAATTTCACAATGTAAGCAGAGAACAAGTGGATGATAAAGTACAGGTCAGGGGCATCTGGTAACTCCCTAAATTGGTGGTCTCATTTGTTTGGAGAAGATATTCAGGCCAGGGGCTGGAAGGTTAGGCTGTACAAGCAAGTCTGTGAAAGTAGGGGGCACAGAATGAGAAATAACTGCATCTGGGAGCAGAGCAGTGACAGGCCAGCTGAGCCCCTGGGTGACTAATCACAGAGAAAACGGTCTTAAATACACTTAGAAAGTTCACAGTAACCAGGGTGACTAAGATCTGTGCCGGCAATCACTCAAACCACGTAGTCGATCTGACAGAAGGCAGCAGTCAGCAATTTCAGTCCCAGGACGGGGGTGGGGGGAGTGCCTGGGCAATGTCTGGGACACTGGTGTCGTGACTGAGGAGGAACTACAGGGATCTAGGCAGATGCAATGATGCCGCCAAGTATTCTACAAAGTACAGAGGAGCCCCACTGCAAGAACTACTCAGCCCCAAATGCCCATAGTACTAAGGCTAAGAACCCCCAATGTACGTGGATCAGAGAATGGGGAGTGGGTCCCACAATCGGGTCATCCCTACTTTTTGAAAGGGCATTCCTTAGAAGGAATGAATAACCACTCACCCAGGGCTGCACTTAGACCTTAGAGGTTTTCCGTACCTTTAACAGCCTTTAGCTTTCTCTTGTAAGGCCCTCAGTGCAGGGAGTTGCAGGGCTTTTAATGATTTCTGATGTTTGAAGCAAAATGGTATGGCCTTTAGTTCCACCATTTGTACTCTGTACCTTTAAAGTTTACATTCCAGCAAAAAGTTCTCCACAACAACCATTTCCCCTACTTGACCCTGTAGCAAACTTCTTGCTTCCAGAGCTTATCCTAACCTGGGAAGTCACCCTGACACCCTAGAGATTATATGGCCTCTCTTCCTCGTCCCTGGTAACTTCTACACATACACTATTTCAGCAATCCTTCTACTGCATTGTAAGTTGGGGAAGGAGGGATATTTATCTCCCCACTCTCCTTCTTCCCTTAATTTTCATTTTCACACAACCTATCACCCTAATGGCAGACAAATTAAAACATAGTTCTTAGGTGACTGGGTAGCTTAGCTATGTATGACACAGAATGATGAAAGTTTCATCCCCAAGAGATGCCCGCTCATCGCTTTCAATTTTGACTTTTGCTGATGCCCCTTTTGTACTAACACTCTAGTCCAAAATTCTCATCTCTTGCCTAGAGTATAGTACCTGGCCTCCTGTTCTATTCTTGCCTGCCTAATATCTATTTCCCACTAAAGTACCGTTATTATTCCAAAATTAGGGTAACCACACAATTTGTCTAAAGGAAATCACAAACGGGTACAAAGGGAACACTACTAATAATCACTCACAGGCCAGGGGTTTAGCTCAGTGGCATAAGTGCCTGCTTGGCAAACGCAAGGTGGTGAGTTCGATCCTTGGCACTACCCAACCCCAAAATCATTCATGGTCAATCTAACTAAAATGGGTTTTGCTCAAGACCTGCCCATGGCTCCTAGTTCAAGAAAAGCCTACACAATTAGGTTAGTATCTAAATCTGGGAGGGAGAGATTTAGAGAACTTCTCAGCAAGTTCTGCTTTGGGTCTTCTGCACTCACCATGGTCTCCATCAGGAGTGCACAAGGTCTTTACAGCCTTTCTGGGATGTCTCAAGTGTTATCTTACTGAAATCTTCCCCAGCAGATGATTGAAACAAAACAGTGGGCACTTCAATCCTTGTCCCTCTGTATCTTTCTTTGATAGAAGCCACTACATTGTTGTGTTTTTTTCTGGCAGGACATGAAGTCTGTGACAGTAGGATTTTTGGTCACTCTTGGACCCCTGGGACTTAAACCACTTTCCGGTACACAAAACTCAATCAGTATATGTTTTTTTCATGAGTAAATGGAACGGTCTAGAAAATGGCCAAAATTTAGGGTTTATTACTTGGGGAGAGAGGAGCTGTTCTTGTTTGTTTAGTCCGCAGCCTAGGACAGAATGTCGGCCCCTTGACCTTTCCTTCATACTCTCTAGTTACTAAGAAACATAAAGGAACCAGAATGGTTGTGAAGCCACCAGGCTTGCTCCAGAGAGCTGAGAACTCATGGCTACAATGAAAGTGCCTTAATGCTAATTGGACTTAAGGGCCCCCACTATTTGAGCAGGGAGAGTTGTTCTACTACAATCAAATTTTCCTTAGTTAAGGACCACCGTTGACCCCAAGACTGTCAGAAGTAGTTCTACAGCCTCTGGAATAGCAGCAGATTTTGGTACTTCTTATTCACGTTTAAACACACTGGCCTGGATCAAAGCTTTGCTGTTGGAGAACCCATTTTAAGTATGTATATGACTGACAAAATACAGTTACTGCTACAACTCTGCTACAGGTAAGCTCTGGCAGACAGCAGGCTTGTTTTTCAGATTCAGTTATCAAAAGCATCATACTACAAGTGTCAGACGGAACCAGATTCCATTCAAGTGATGCTCTTTTGCTTAAACAGGAAATTGTATTTCTGTTTTTCCTATTTATCATTTTGTTATGAATGTTAAGCTACTATGAAGAAAAAGCTTTTAGGACTTGAATTTTCAAAATTACAATTTTTTAAATAGTAAAAATGTATATAAAATGTCAGTAAGAATAAAAAAGTAAAATTGTGGATTAGGGAGAGAAAGAAAAGAAGTACAGTTAAGGTGAGCAGGGCAAAAGAGAAACTGATTAGGGAGGATTTGAACACGCACATGAGAGATAAAAACACTTCTACTATTCATTCTATGCTGCTTCCTGCTGTCTGGAGGAGAACATCATCATTTCAATTGTACTTTTGTACACTCAAACATTAAAACAGGGACGTTCATGCTAGTGCTCTTGAATTCTACTAGGCTGAGCTACATAAAACCACCTAAAGGCAATCACTTTGAATTACAAAAGAGCATTTTAATGCATATATGTACATTTTTCTTGGGCTTAGCTCTCTTTAGACCGTCAAAGGAACTGTGCTTCACCACCAAAAGGTTTTTAATACTCCGCTTTCAGAGGGATATTACACAAAATGAGTAACAATGTGGAATCTTGGATATCGTGTCCTTTTTCCAATGAGTACGTTAAGTAGTATACATAATGATAGTACATATATTTGCAATATTTTTCAGAACAGCAAAGCAAATTTCCACTTGTTAGACACAATGGGTTCTACTCTATATGGGTAACTATTACCTGGCCATGTCTGATTTTCTTCCATTAAACAATAAAAAAGCAATAAATATTACTTTAAGACACATGGCTATAAATATTCCTTTCATAAAGTAAGAAAACTAAATAATTCTCAGACATCTCCAACTAAAGTAAATTCTCTATGGCACAAAAACACCAACATCCTAAGTCAGTGGAACTGTGTCTGGTGCAACTCAAAGCCTGGAAACAACGCGCATGGATGCTGTGAACACCCCTCTTTTAAGAAAAGGGGTTTCTCGGACCAGCACTGCTATTGAAATAATCCTCATACCACAACTCTAACCATAGGACCCGCCAGATTAAAGGGAGGGGGCAATTTTCATGTATGCTTCCCGAATCCTCCTCTCTACTGGCTTTTCATTCGTCTCACTTAATTCTCTTCCCAAGTGTCCTCTGTTTAATCTTTGCCAAACCAGGTAAGATTCCCTGCTGCCGCCACTACCCTCACATTCTGGCGTTTGATGTAAACTTCCTCCTTTCCCCTCTCCAGGCCCCAACTTTCTCTGGGTAGAGACCGTCCTTGCCCGCCTTTCCCCTCCGCTCTCCGGCACCCTCCGGAGCTCGCTCGTCTTTGCAGCTCTCCTCCACCCTTACCATCCCTCGCCCGACGGCTGCCCCATCCCCCACCTCGCTCTACCTTTCCAGGTAAAAGCTAGACCCCGCGCTCCCCGCCCCAGGCGGCCCTGAGAATCGGCGCCGAAGCCCCGCTCGCAGTCCACGCTCGCGCTCGGATCTGCTGCCTTCTCCGCCGCGGCCCCGCGCAACCAGCGAGCCGCTCCGACGCAGTTACTTCGCAGTCGCCTCTGCATGACGCAGAGCCGGGGTCCCTCGGGAGAGAAGGCGAGTGCAACTGGGAGGGCAGAGCAAACGGAGGGACGAGTAGAAAGACACGAAAACACACGCGGGTCCGCGCTGGAGACGCCGCTCGCAAGCCCGTGGGCTGGGAACAATGGTCCGGGGCCGCGGGAAGGCGCGAGCGGGGCCGGGCCCGGCCCGGGGAGAAGGCCGAGCGCAGAGTGCGCCCCGCGGAACCCTCCCGCTCCCGCTCCCGCTCCCGCCCGCACCTTGGTGTCCACGTCGGCCAGGCAGTCCCTGCGGAACTGGTCGAAGAGGCCCTGGCTCTTGAGGTGGTTCACGATCATGGCCACCAGCTGCGGGTCCCCGGCGCCAGCCCCCGAGCCGCCCGCGCCGCTCGCGCTGGGACCAGACCCAGGACCGGGCGGCGGCGGCGGCGGCTGTGGCTGCGGCTGCGGCGGGGGAGGCGGCGGAGCCGGCGGGGGCGGCTGCGGCTGCGGGTTGGTGGCCATCGTGGCCCGGGCCGAGGAGCGCACTGGCCCCGAGGAGCGGCGCGCGGGCGCTCCTAGGAGGAGGCGGCGGCCACAAGGTCCTGCCGCCTGAGGGAAGCCAACGGGATGTTGTTATGGAACCAGCGGCCCCAGCGCAACCCCGGAAGTGAAAGGGAACTGAGGGAAGGAAGGAAAAGGCGGGGACAAGCGCACGGAAGGCCGGGCTATGGTGGCCGCGAGGAGTCATTTCCAGCCGCCTCTGTGTGCGGACGGTCTCCCGACCCTAGGCTGCATCGGAAGTTGGGTAGCTGAGGGCGATGGAGGCTGCTGAGTGCAGGGGTGGATTGCTGTTTTAGGCCGACGGCCTAAGGACAGACTTGACCGTCGTGAGTTCGAGCTGGGAGACTCACAGCTCTGAGTGGCTAAGTGATCGTCTGCTTCGAGCCGGGCCGAGGAGGGTTGCCACGGAGCAGCAGCGAGCCGTAGACTCGGGACCGGGACGCGCACGCTCCGGGCTCTTGTTTCTTCCCGGTAGGGAGCGCCAGATCCCCGGGGTTTGCTCCTCACCCCCCGCGGTCTTCCCCACAGTACCAGGCCGAGACCTCGGCCTCGGCTTCCTGCCGGAGACACTGCCTCCACCCTGGCAGCAAAAGCTTTCGCTATCGATTACCCTGATCAGTGGAAGAGCTTCTACAGCTAGCCCTGCGGTTAGCGCCTGGCATTAAGTGCTTCTACCTTTGTTAACTCAGTCAGACTTCGGAAAACCACTTAAGAGCTCGGCCCCGCTGCGGACTGCCCCTACAATGTGCAGATCAGGAAACTGGGAGACCCTGAGACGAAAAGCAAATAAGCGCAATGTTATAGAGCCAGTGAATAGCCATATTTGGGGCGGATTTGCATTTAAAATTGTTAGTACTCATCTACAGCAAAATAAGTACTACACACCTATTCAATAGGATGTACATTTTAGTGGAATACATTAAATATGCATCACAAATAAATGAGTGTTTTGTTCTTAGAGGGTTAAGCATTAATTCTTTTTCTAATTGGCATCTACATCCATATTCCCTAGAAGACCTTGTTCGTATAAACAACGTCGTTTGATTCTTGACATCAGAAAGTTAGATTGGGTTACTTATGAGCTGAATGTTCAGTTAGGCCCTCCTACAATTTTATTTACAGCAAAGAATTGAAAATAAGCTGACGTAGCAAAAGATTTGCTTTCCTAGTCCTTATTATTATTACTTTGTTTCTGAGAAATATACCGAGTACGCTGTACCAAGTGACTGTTAAATAAACTTTTTTAAAAAATGAGATGTACCTTGCTTAGCCTGATACACTCAACGCTTGAGGAAAATCCAAATCTTGTTTGTTTTCATAGTTTTGTATAAATGCTTTTTATTTTTAGGGGGTTAAATTGTTTTCATCAAAACACTGTGGAAGCAGAGGTTGAAATGTTTATTATATAGGCCAATTAACAGAACCCATTTTCAGGTCAAGCTGTCAAGTCAGATTTTCTTCTCATTAGAGACTCTGACTTCATTGTTTCAATTCAACATGTGTTACAAGTATAATGAAGACTACAGAGAAAAAAGTAGTGATATTTTAAGTTTTATACTAAATGCAATAAGGTTGAAATGATATAAAATATAATTGTTTTTATCCATTTTTAAAATTAGTTTTGAGAGTGAGACTATATCGTTCCTTTAATATGCCACCTGTACAATACAATATGATATGTTGCTAAATGTATGTTACTTATTAAGTGTTAGTATGAAAAAGATTTAGTATTTTTTGGGGGGTATATATGAATGTATAAATCAAATTTATGAAAGTTTTGAGGAATAGTTTAAGAATTAGCTATAAAACTTCTGCAGAACTCCACAAATTTAATTAGATACAGTGATCTAACTTTAAAAAATCTAATGAAGCAAAAAGTGATTTGTAGTTAAAATCTTAAAAAAGGATTTTTCTCCCTGTGGCTAGTATTTCATTTTGTGAATGGCATCTAAAAAATCCTATGTATTTTCCAAAATGTATTAAGGTGAAAATTGATGTTAACTGAAATACTTAACAACTTTTTCTAAAATGTATGATACTGCTGGGGGTTTAACTCAGCGGCATAAGTGCCTGCCTTGCAAATGTGCAGTCGTGAGTTCGATCCCTGGCACCGATAAAAATGAAAAAAACAAAAAAAAAAAAAAAAAAAAAAGTATGATAACTGCCATATTGAACTGCACAGAAATTTGAAATTGTGTAATATTAGTATCCTTGCATAGCTGTTCTCACTAGTTGTATACATTGTACTGGATACAATGTAACATGTACAATTTCTTAGCCTGGGAAAATATTCTGGATAAGGTGAAAAGAATCTAGACCATTGATGCATTCTGTACTTTTGACTGTTCAAAATTACTTTGTATCTGAAGACAAATGTTAGGGATGAGTATTGGAAATGCCTGGGAATACAGGGAGACACATTTAAATCTATTTAAAAAGCAGCTAACATTTCTTGCCAGTGACCTGTGTGCTTTGTTCTCCCTTCCACTTCCTCTGGAGAATTGTTGACTGTAGTTAGGACAAGATGAAGACTTCTCCAATAAATTGTTATCTTTCTTATACTCCACTATATACATGTCTGACTTCAGAACATCACAAGATTGGGTATTTTTCTCCCTGAACATCATATCCTCTGATTTTATTCACCAAGGCTGATGTTAAGACCACAGTTAAGCATATGCTATAACCACTGGTAATGACAGGCATCAATGACAAGTTTTTACGGCAGCCCTTAGAGGTGGACAATGAGTGTCCTATCAAGAGGCAGGTCCCTAGGATTTCTTTTCTTTCTTACTGCCTAGTCTGCTCCCTCCCTCCTCAGCACCCCAATCCTGTCTCTAGCGGCTTCTCAAGTAAAAGTCTTTATCCTGGGGAGCCTACCTGCTCACCATGCAAAGAGACGTTTGCTGGCTTTTGTCCAATGACACCCTGCTCTGTGGCATTCCTGTTCCTCCATAGGGCCGTTTATGATTTTCTTTTCTTTCTTTCCTCCTCTAAACCCCAACCTTCAGAAAAGAAAACTCAAATTCCACTGTAGATCTCTTGACTGGGCACCCCAGGGCGGGCTCAATGTATTGTCCTTGGCTAAGCTTCATTGGTGATCCTGATGTGGCCCCAAGGTCAAGGGCCACTGGTCTGTGATCCGCATCAGTTGGGTCTGAATTTGCCATAATAGCAAAATCACTCAAAGAAGCCCAGGAGTGAAGAAGAACACTAAAGGTCTAGTAATGTCGTCTGTGGTCCAGAGGCTAGAAGGAGACTCACTGGTCCGGTCCATTTGTTTTGTGAAATCCTCACTGGAAGGACAAGTGATTTACCCACAGGTATCTGATCCAGGTTATCACCTATACCTTCTTTTGGTAGACTCCCCCCAAAAGTGAAACAAAGTCAGCTTTAACAGGACAATATTCCAAAAGTGTTACAGTTTTAGTGGATTCTCCCAGTGTACATGGAGTTGAAGACATTTTAAGCTGAAAAAACCTTTGGAGAAAGGAAATAATTGTCACTTTGGTGTCAGGACATGAAAATGAGAGCGTGAAGGAAGTGAATGATAAGGTAGAGAAGCAAATTACTTTTTGTGACATTTGGCAAAGACTGGAACCCTCATTCCCTGCCAGTCTGGAAGAGCCTGAGAATAGAGTGTTTTAGGAATCATGACTGTAAACTTGTGTTATCTTGAGAAGCTGCACAATTTGAGAGTGACTTGAGTCCTAGCTTTTATAAACCTTTAGAATTTGAGAGGTAGGAGCTTCAGAGGAAAGAAAATATGAAGGTGGAGGGAAGATTTTTCATTTGTTTGATTAGATATATTAATCAGTTTGCTATCAAAACTTGACAGGAAGAGAGTGCTGAGTGGATCGTGAGTAAGATTAACAGTGGTTCTCCAATTTTAGCATACATCACATCTACATCTCCCTGAGGGCTTGGTAAAACAAACTCGCAGCCCTGTCCCAGACTGCAGATTTGGTAGGTAGGTGTGAAGCAGACCTGAGACTCCATTTTTAACAAATGCTGACAAATCACTTGAGAAACCTTGAGATAAACAAATAATGGCCCACAGGCCTAATCCAGTTACTTAATTTTATGAATGAAGTTTTACTAAGTGAGCCAATCCCACTGGGATTGCTTTAGTGTCTATAGCTGCTTTAGCTGCAGTGACAAGATAAAGGCAGGGCCGCATGGCCTGCAAAGCTAAGGATTTTTATCACCTGGCCCTCAAGTTTATTGACCCCTGGACTCAAAGGAGGCCGCAAAGGGTGGTTGTGAGAACAGTGACGTGGGTCTAGGGAACCATGTACAGGAGAACTGTGCCTATTGCTAGGTACAAATTCACAGCTCTGCACAGCTTCTAGCATGTGTGAGGTGCATGTGATCTTTACAACAATGAACATTCAATTTCCATTAGGACTGTCCTGTGATGTAGCCCACTGAATTAGATACTCCGTTGATGCATGGGCAGATTTACTGCTTTGTGAAAATAATTACTTTTGTGTTTGGAGGAGGTGATAGCTATGCTGAAGTCAAATTCTAAACTGGAAATTCTTTCATCAGTGTTTGGGGAACCCTGATGGCCATCTATAATTCTCAAAGTCTTTGTTGTCTTTATTTTTGTTATTACGCTCTTATAATGCTCAGAATTGAATCCAGGGAGGGCCTCACACCTTTTACCGTGGTCCTAGTCCATTTAGCTTTATGTTTATTTTGAGAGAGTTTTGCCAAATTATTCAGGTTAGCTGCAGACTTGGGATCCTCCTGCCTTAACCTTCCAAGTAGTTGGTAACATTGTTTTTTCCTTTTTTTTGTAGGTAGTATTACTACTATTCCTCATTCCTTACATTTCTTTGCTTTTAGGATTATTAGTGATAGCAATTAAATTTGAGAAAGTAGTATTTATTGTGAAGTTAGGTATCTAGAATTTATTAATATTTCTAAATTGTTATTTTAAAAATGACTGATAATATTGCAAATGGTATGAAATAAGACTATCCACTGATTTGCTAATAAAATTGGAAAGACATTTTGCATTGTCTTCAGTGACATTTTTAATTTTCAAAACAGCTTTAATGTGTGTCTCCTGAATATTGTAGTGGGCAAGTGAGGCCTTAGAAACTCAAAGCCTACCTCCAGGAATGAATTCATAAAGAGTAGAAATAGAAGGAAGTTCTATAGGAGTGATAGGATATTATCAGAATATCCAAAATCCAATCCAGATTATGTGGAAAGAAAATCTGGGAGAAGTGGTCAAAGACTGATTGTAACAAAATAGATATTTAAGTAAAGATAGTATTCTACATATGAAGAAAGAAGTGTTTCAGGGAGATGACTGGGTATCATGGTTTATGTCAGTGGCCCCCAGCCTCATGAATTATGGACACAACCAAATCTAGCATTTGTGATTGGTTCGTTGTCTAGCACTTGGATTGGTAATGTGTTTCACCTGTCTAGGGGTGGAGCCAGCATATGATATAAGG